CATTACCACAATTTTGTATCCGGTATTCCTAATATTTTTATTTTAATTTAACTTCTTTATCAAAGAAGAAAACCTGGCTGGGTGCAGGGGCTCATGCCTGTAATCTCAGCACTTTGGGAGGCTGAGGGGGGTGATCACCTGAGGTCAGGAGTTTGAGACCAGCCTGACCAACATGGAGAAACCCCATCTCTACTAAAAATACAAAATTAGCTGCGCGTGGTGGCACATGCCTGTGATCCCAGCTACTCAGGAAGCTGAGGCAGGAGAATCACTTGAACCTGGGACGCAGAGGGTGTGGTGAGCCAAGATCACACTATTGCACTCCAGCCTCGGCAAAAAGAGTGAAACTCCATCTCAAAACAAAAAAGAAAAGAAAATGTATCACTGGGTAATTAATAAAGAAAAGACATTTAATTGATTCACAGTTCTGCATGGCTGGGGAGGCCTCAGGAAACTTACAATCATGGGAGGCTGAGGCTGCAGTGAGCTCAGATCACACCAGTGCACTCCAGCCTAGGCAACAGAACAAGACTCCATCTCCAAAAAGAAAGAAAGAAAACTAGAGGCCAATATCCTTATGAATATAGATTTTAAAATACTCACCAAAATACTAGCAAGCTGAATTCAGGGACGTATTGAATGGATTATATATCATGACTACAATAATTAAGCGGTACTGACATAAGGATAGACATATAAACTAGTGAAATAAAGTAGACAGCCCAGGAACTAAAGTTCACATACCTCACATATAGCAGCGATTGATCTTTTAGGAAGGTGATCAAGACCATTCAATGGGGGAAAGAACAGTCTTATCAAAAAATGGTGCTGGGATAGCCAGATAACCACATGCAAAAAAATAAATTTAGATTCTTACCCTACATAGAAAAATTACTTAAAAAGTAGATAAAAGACCTAAATTGAATAGCTAAGGTATAAAACTCTTAGAAAAAAATTAGAGGAACTCTTTATGACATTAGACAGCAATCATTTCTTGCACATGACAGCAAGAACACAGACCAGAAAAATAAATAAATAAATAAATAAATAAATAGAACATAATCAAAATTTAAAACTTCTGTGCATCAAATGGTGCTATCAAGAGAGTAAAAAGACAATCTGGGCTGGGTGTGGTGGCTCACGCCTGTAATCCCGGCACTTTGGGAGGCTGAGGTGGGAGGCTGAACTCCTCACCTGAGGTCAGGAGTTCAAGACCAGCCTGGCCAACATGGTGAAACCCCATCTCTACCAAAAATACAAAAATTAGCTGAGAGGGGAACTCAGCAATGTCCGCCTTGCTGATGGGATGTACATTGGTTCAGTCCGGAAAGGCGGGACAACTCAAAGTGGGGAGGAGGCTCCCAGTCATAGGTAGATAAGAGACAAACTGTTGCATGCCTTCGAGTTTCTGACTAGCCTTTCACTGAATGCACAATTTACAGTAATAGTCACTTATGCCTAGTCTGGCTTAGTGAAACTACAGAGAAGAGCGATCAGTCAGATATACATTTGTCTCACATGAGCAGAGGACTGATTCTGATTTCTGTCTTTCCTTTGTCCACAAGGGATTTTCTTGCGGGCAAATTGGGTAGTCTCCTTAGCTTCAAAAAAATCTTTGTAGCTATCTTATTTAGGAACAGAATGGAAGGCGGGCTTGCTCAATGCAGGTCCCAACTTGACTCTTCCCTTTGGCTCAATAATTTTGGGGTCCCAAGTTTTTTTTTTTTTTAGATGGAGTCTCACTCTGTTGCCCAGGTTGAAGTGCAGTGGTGTAATCTGTGCTCACTGCAACACCTGTTCCCAGGTTCAAGGGCCTCTCCTGCCTCAGCCTCCTTCATAGCTGAGACTACAGGTGCAAGCCACCACGCCTGGCTGATTTTTGTAATTTTAGTAGAGATGGGGGTTTCACTGTGTTGGCCAGGCTGGTCTTGAATTCCTGACCTCAAGTGATCTGCCCACGTCGGCCTCCCAGAGTGCTGGAATTACAGGTGTGATTCTGCACTTGACTCCAAGGTTTATTTTCCTTTCACAATAAGAACCCCATGTTATAGGGTGAAGATTAAATATAGATTGTACATAAGAATTTAGAAATTCAATTGACAGTATATGTAAGCTAAAATCCATTTTTGTATTTAATTTTAGTCCTGTCTACACTCAGGTGCTGGCATAGCCAGGTAAAAGACGAACAGTTTTATGATAATTAAGAATGCTTCTGTCCAGGTGAAGTTTAAAAAAAAAAACCCTTCTGCAGTCCCTGAAACAGGTGGCACAAATTCAGCCAATTGATACACTGGTGTCAAGTCTTACAGAGACTTGACAGGTAGAGGAGGAAAGGGAGAGTGAGGTCTTCCAGGGCTATTGGTTACAATAAAATGACATTATTTTTTACTATCTTGTGCCTGGGGCCAGGATCATATCCCACAGATTCAAAATTCCGCTTATTTAGTACAATCCATATAGGTAATCAAAATGGTTGTTGACTTATGTGATAAGGCCCCCTCAACCATCTGGGTGGACTTCCGGCCCAGCCAGGGCACTCTTAAAATGCAACCTGAAAAACTGGTTCAGGTCATGAAGACAAGCGGGGGTCTGGGCCATGCCTCATTATACCTCTCCGGAATTCACATTGACACAGACATTACATCTGAAAAGAGGCATTTACAATCTACTCTCTCTGAAGCTGGCTACCTGAAGGATTCCTCTGCACAATAAGAACTTTGGTCTTCACAATCCTTTAACCCAGAAATTTCCTTTCTATTGATCCCGGGTCTTTAGATAAACAACGAATTGTCAACCAGAAATTTTTTAATCTACCTATAACCTGGAAGGCCCCCCGCCCCCACCCCATCCCCAGTTTCAAATTGTTCCACGTTTCTGAACTGAACCAACGTATTTCTTAAATGTGTTTGATTGAAGTCTCATGTCTCCCTGAAATGTATAAAACCAAGCTGTACCCCCACCACCTTGGGCACATGTACTGATGACCTTCTCAGGGCTGTGTCATGCGCCGTGGTCACTCATATTTGGCTCAGAATAAGTCTCTTCAAATATTTTACAGAGTTTGACTCTTTTTGTCAACAATACCAGGAAGGGATTTGGGGGAGGGGAACAGTGAGGCTCATCTTTGTGGCAGGGATCTTCTGGGGAAAACCAGTGGTCACCCCAATAGACTCCAGAGGTAGTAGATCCTTGTTCCAGATGTGGCCCACAGTTTATATGTGCAAGACTCTGACTAGCAGGACACAACGAGCCACCTAATGGGTTTGACACAACCACCAAGTCCAAGAGTAATGTATAAAGCTGGAATGTCAATTTGCTAGTGGTATACAGTAGGAGTTAGATATTTAGGTTCACTGATCACCACTTCTATCTATGAAGATAAATCCACAGGGAAAGAAGCCGCAAATCACCAAAAGGTTGTTTGGGCCCTAACTTCTAAACAATGGGTTTGTGTTGGATGAGCTTAATGAGGGGGAGGAAAGCAGGCTAGCACTAGGCTGTCACCAACTTCAAATAGCAGGTTCTCTTCTACAGAGGTAGAGATCCTCGTTAGTCCTGCCCCATCCACAGGTATATTTATATTAGTTTCCAAGGATTGTTTTATAGTTTCTGAGCAAGTACAAAAACTGAGTAGCTTAAAACAACAGACATTTATTACCTGACAGCTCTGGAAGTGAGAAGTCCCAAATCAAGATGTAGGCAGAGTAATGCTTTTTTTGAAACCTACAGGGGGGAGAATCTTTTCTTGTCTCTTCTAGCTTCGGGTGTTTGCTGGCAATCCTTGGAGCCCCCTGGTCTGTAGGTGCTTCCCTCCAATCTCCGCCTTTGTCGGCAAGTGTCTGTTTTCTCCTCGTGTGTCTCCTCTTCGCGTAAGGACACCAGCTATGCTGGATGATGATCTCATAACTAAACTAACCTGCTGCAAACCTATTTCCAAAAAAGGCCATTAATGTCATTTTTTTTTTTTTTTGAGTCTGAGTCTCTCTCTGTCACCCAGGCTGGAGTGCAGTGGCTCAATCTCTACTCACTGCAACCTCTGCGCCACCTCCCCTGACCGCTCTGCCTCGGGTTCAAGCGATTCTCCCATCTCCGCATCCCAGTAGCTGGGATTACAGGTGCATGCCACCACGCCCAGCTAATTTTGGTGTTTTTAGTAGAGATGGAGCTTCACCATGTTGCCCAGGCTGTCTTGAATTCCTGGCCTCAAGCGATCCACCCATCGCAGACTCCAAAAGTGCTGGGATTGTAGGCATGAGCCACCACACCCAGTCCAAATAGGGTCATATTCTGAAGCACTGGAAGTTAGGGCTTCAACATATCTTTGAGGCGCACACATTGCAACCCATAACAGTATTCTCGGAACTTTAAATTGCGTCAGTTTTTGTACTAGAAATGCACTGCCCTTTTAGGCACTATGTATTCCTCTAATCTTGTTACTCTTTTATGACTTTAAGAAATACAGAATTTGGTCAATTTTAGGTGAGAAAGTAAACTTTGATGACTTGCATCAAACAGGAACTGAGGCACAACTCCTGGAATTTCCGGTAAGAGAACGTGAGTAGGAATACAGTCACTGACTAAAGATCATTTTTCAAGAAACACGCCAACAAACTGAGGGATACATGATAATTGAAAAACTAGCCCTTATGATCTTTTTGTTTTTAAACAGGTGCATCTTTACACAGTTAAATTTTAGTTAAATTTTACTAATTCTTTTTTTTTTTTTTTGCAGATAAAAACTCAGGAGTTGAGAAATCAATAAATATGAGAAAACCATCATGATTTATCAAGCCTGGATAAATAATAAGTCCCGCATAGAAGACCATGTTTTTTTTTTCTTTTTTTTCTTTTTCTTATTTATTTCAATAGGTTTTTGTGGAACAGGTGGTGTTTGGTTACATGAATAAGTTCTTTAGCGGTGATTTCTGAGACTTTGGTGCACCCATCACCTGAGCAGTGGACACTGCACCCAATGTGTAGTCTTTTATCCCTCACCCCTCCCACCTTAGCCGTTATCATCTTAAGATTTTTGGCTATTCTGAGCCATCTCATTCCTCCCTCCCTTCTTTGTTGCATTCTCTCTCACCTACTCCATTCCCCCCGCCTTCAAAGTAAGACCACCTTTGGTAAGAATGTTATACGCATTATGATACTTTTTCAAATCTTCAAAATTGAGGAATAATTACATACAGTAAAATGAGAATGGCATGCAAATTTGTGCCTTTTTTTAAAGCTTAGTACATGTCATAATTTGGTTACAATTCTTATTTTTCCAGATACATGTGCTTTTCCTCACATCTACCATGCTCAGCATTACAGAGCTGTCCTTTATTTTAGAATTCTCTAAAGTGCTGTATTGTACACAGAGAGCTGCTCCTGACTGGAAAAGCCGCACCTCGCACCCCTCTTCCTTCAGGACCCAGATTCTTTGAAACGTTTCTCTAGCCCCTTTGAACACTGCAGCTCGTTTAAAACGTATATGGTTCTTTTTTCCCTGTTCAGTTATTAATCTAGCTAGGTTGTGAGTTCCTCCTCCAAGAAGGAGTTGGGGGTGCGATGTAGCTTGTCTGGTTTTGGATTCAAAGTGTGTACAATACTCCAATGCCTACCACATAGTAGGTGCTCAATATATGTTTACTGTCAATAAGTGACAATTAACACACCAATATGGTACTTCAGAGTTTTCATAGCGCGGTCACACGATCTCATTTAATGCCTACTACAATCCTAAGAAATTCTAATTACTGCCATCCTAACATTTCTTGTTTATAGAGCATGGAGATCGACAGGTTAAGTCTCTTGCCCAGGGCCAGTAAACAGCAAAACGGAACTATAATTTCAGGCTCTGGACACCACACAGCGTGTCGAGGTCAGCCCGAACTTGGCGCTGCGACTTTTCCTTGGAGGGGCCATTTCGGCTTGCACTTCCAGATCCTGGGCACAAAGACCCAAAAAGACGCCCTGCGGGGAACTGGGGAGCGGGACTACATCTCCCAGAGAGCCCTGAGGCTAAACCGCAGATGAGTGGTTGACATTGATAGCCAATGCGGCTGCGAGGAGCTCGTGCAAACCAATCACAGTCTGGAAGGGGCGGGACCTCCCACGCCGAGACTAGATTGAGCGCAGAACTAACGGCGCTCTGAACGGCTCCAAACCTCTGTGGGGCTTAGAGCCGGATGCAACGTCGTCCTTTCCCGTGCTCTCCCGCGACTCCGTCTCGGGCCGCGCGTGTCTGGCTGCTAGGTCGGCAGTAAGGACTGGTCGGGTGCCCGGAAAGAAAGCACGTGCTCCAGCAGTTGTCGCGCCGCGTGTTTGCCCGTCAGACCCGTGCCCAGCCCCAAGAGAGGCCCCAGGGCGCTGGGGAGTTTCGGGGCCCGCAGTCCCCTCGAAACGGGAGGCGTCAAACGACCCGGGCCTTCCGTGGCAGGCTCGCCTGGCGCTGGCTGGCGTGGCTCTTGGCAGTCGTCACGTGTGGATAGCGCGTCTTCCCCGCCGCGCCCTCTGGGCGAGGAGCAGACTCGGCAGCATGTCACCCGCGCTCCAAGACCTGTCGCAACCCGGTAACGCTGCGACCCCGTCTGCGGGGTTCGGTTGTGTTTCTTGACTCGAGCTGTGGCCTCCTAATCCCTGGGGCGATTCCCTTTCGTAGCGGGAGACGCCCGGCGGGGTTTCGCCGCGTGTGGGCGGCACCTTTAGAACGTAGCACGGGAGTCCCGAGGGCCACGTATTTTTCTCGGCTTTTTCTCCGCCCTTCACCTCTTCCTCACGAGGCGAACCATCAAAACCTGCAGAGCTTCCCCTCCTTGCCCCCGAAACACATTCTTAACGTTATGCTAACTAAACTTTGCCGCATAAACCAGCTGGGCTCTCCGGAAGTTTTGCCTGGTGTCACGTTCTTACTCAGTAAACATTTATTATGCACATAGTGCCAAAGAAAGCTCAGGCGCGGAGAGAGAGACGAGGCAACTCAGAACTATTTAAAACTGCTACATGGGACTTTTTATTTTCTGCTTCTTCGCACACTTCTGCAGACTCCAATATGCGCAGAGTAACTATGTTAAAATAGGTTAACAGGTTCCACCTTCAGATACCGAGATGGGGCGTAGTAATTTCCAGCGATTCAGATGTTGGTGGCCCTGGGATCAACAATGAGAAAAAGCTAGTTTAGCACAAGAACTGAAAGTAATGTTAGCTTTATAATGAGCTCTGCGTCTGTAAGGTCATGCCGGATTATAATTTGTGGACAAATATACCTATAAAAACGTGTGACGAGATGTAGAAAGGAGAATTAGTAACAAGTACGGAACAGTAAATATCCTATGACAGAGTGGGGATGTTTGGCTTCAGGAAGAGGGGCATAAACCGTAACGGACAAGGAAATTGTCAGAGGTTAACTGATGACTTACTGATTCTCGGGTTCTGATAACGGGACTGATAGAATTGTTCTGGAAACTACTGGAACTGTGGCTGAGAAACATCACTGCTGTTATTAAATAAGGGGTAAACCTGTCATAGGGAGATCATATATTTGTTTGGATAATATCTTTTACTCATGATTTCTGGTCTCCCCCTTCTCATTTAATTTAAACAAGCTATTTTCCTTTCATCGGAATTTAGGTGTCATTATCAGGAGCAAAATGCCACTGAAGACTTAGAATACTGTGAATAGTGAGTGATTTTTTTTTTTAAACAGAATATGAAAGGAAAACTGTTGAAGGTTTGAATCTAGCTTAATCCCCTCACCGCAACGCTGACTTCTAGAGTTGAGTACTGAGCAATTCTTAGGGCCTCTGAAGTTCTGAATCAGGCCTGTGCGCCTGGAAAAGATCGTAGATGTAGTCCAGCTTCTATGTGAGCAACTTCTGTTAGGATTAGAATCAGGTTTTAACTTCCCAATAACCCTTAGTCCCTTACTGGCATGCAATCTTATGAAACTTCAATGGAGAGCTGGAAATTCCTGATTCTCAAGGTTGGGCCTTAAAACTAAATGTGACTTCATGGTTGTGTGCGCTGGGGAAGGAGGATGGTGGGCTAGCAAATACTTCTTGGGAGAAAATTTTAGCTACAGCTTCTAAAGGTTTCTTGGTTTCATCCTTTCTTAGTTATGTGAGTGTTATTTGGAACTCAGTTGGTGAGTGATAAATGAAAGAATGAATAAGTGATCCAGTGAATTGGTATCAGTCTAATTCTTCTCTGGCTTATTAAAATCAAAGGAGTATTATTTAACAATATTTTATATCTTATTAAATATTAATTATATATTAAAATATATAAATGATAATTGTGTATCATTTAGTATATATTAAAAATGGAATACTGCACAAGTGAAGTGATGCCTACAAAGAGGCCAGGTGTGGTGGCTCACACCTGTAATCCCAGCAGTTTGGGAGGCTGAGGCAGGCAGGTCACCTGAGGTCAGGAGTTCGAGACCAGCCTTGCCAGCATGGCAAAACCCCATCTCTACTAAAAATACAAAAATTAGCTGTGGGGGGTGGGCGCCTATAATCCCAGCTACTCGGGAGGCTGAGGCAGGAGAATTGGGAGGCTGAGGCAGGAGAATCACTTGAACCTGGGAGGCAGAGGTTGCAGTGAGCTGAGATCATGCTACTGCACTCCAGCCTGGGTGAGGGAGCGAGACTTCGTTTCCAAAACAAAACAAAAACAAAACAAAAACCAAAGTGAAGCAAGTCTGTGCAAATTAGAAATTAGAGATCCAAAAATGAAAGAGAGAAGTGTCTTGCAAGAGACATGTAGGGCAGTAGTAAGATTGTTTTTAGTAAAGCAAAGAAAGGACACTGCTGAGAAAGCATTGGGATCATTTGATTATAATGCAGAAAACAAAATTGTACTTTTCTTGCTGTGTGTGTTCCCCATTTAGCACAGTGGAAAGAAGAGTCCTAAATAAGTCAGACCTACCTGGGGTCATTTTACCTTCAGAGGAGGTGTCTTCTTGACAATGCAATTTATAATTTACATGCACGTATTAGAAATTTATTTCTTTAGGCTTTCAAAGAATGACATAATTTGTTATTCTTTAGGCTAGTTCTTAAATTTAAAGGTGGTACTACCTGACTTATCCCCTCCAAATCTGACTGGGGCTTTAACCACTTAGTCCATGTTTATTCTTTGGAACACTTGCTGTGTTAACGGCAGGGAAGAAACCCCACAAAATATACTGGCTAAATCCACTCAAATCTGGAGAAAATACTGTGTGATCTTTTAGGCTGGCTAGCCAAAAATGTTCCTTGAGACTCCTCTGCACTGCAGTTATTTACATATACTCATATATATTAAACATAAAAATATTTCTGAAATAGTGTTATAACTAGTCAGCTAAATGGAGGAACTGCCAAACTATATTCTTATATTTACTCTGAAAGATAATCAGAGAGAATCTGCTTTATTTAGAACTTGACTAGTCAGTAGTTAAATATAGAGAATGTTCTAGACCTAATGAACTGAATGCAGATAAATACAATTTTGTTGTTGTTCTTCATGGAAGAACGACATTTCAATAGATCCCCACTCTGCCAAGGGAAAGAATTGTCAAGGTGACTTATTCTTTTGAGAAAGTTCTGTTGGTAATGAGAAGCCAGTGAATTAGAATGGTGATTAAAGCCAATGAAAAATGACCTCCTACTGGAAAAGCTGGAGGAATGCAGAAGGCGAAGAATAGTGAACACTTAATACCAACAGAGCTTCTGAAGGAAGACTTCTTAGTTTCTCTGAATGGGAGATCTTATATTATCCTCTAAAGGAAAAATAAGCAAGTGGACAATGAGGAAGCAATGGATTTTTTTTTTTTTTTTTTTTTTTGAGACAGTCTCACTCTGTTGCCCAAGCTGAGTGCAGTGGCGCGGTCACGGTTCATTGCAGTTCCAACCTCCCAGGCTCAAGCAGTTCTCCTGTCTCAGCCTTCCTAGTAGCTGGGACCACAGGTGCACACTACCAGGCTTGGCTAATTTTTGTTTTTTTTGTAGAGGTGAGGTCACAGTGTGCTGCCCAGGCTGGTTTTGAACTCCTGGACTCAGTGGTCCACCTACTTTGGTCTCCCAAAGTGTTGGGATTACAGGCGTGAACCACCATGCCGAGCCTGAAGTAATGGATTTTTAAGGGCCTCAGTTGCATGGGAGTTTTTAATTCAGTCCACAAAATTCCTGCTCATATGTGTTTTATTATATGTATTTTTATCTGTATTTTCCATCCACAATTCTTTTGTTTCCATAGACTGCCTTTTTCACATATATCCATATATTTATACATTTTATTGTAAATTCTAGTCTATAGGTATTTTTAATTCACATCGTACATTACATTCTGGAATGTACAAAGAACGAACACAAATCAATAAGAAAACAAATTAGCTTCAGACATTGAAGAATCTTCCCCCAACCCATCGTCTATTATTTTTGTCTATGGTAACTTTCATTGAGCAGAAATCCTTGGTTTTTATGTAATCAAATTCATATTTTTTTAAAAAATTAAGAGTTTGGTCTTTTTGAGTCTTAAGAAATTTTTCTTCATTCGAAGTCATAAAGTTCTTCCACATAAATTATACAATCACTTTGTCAGGTTTCTAAAAAACCAAAGCAAATGTTTTTTAAAAAACTTTTGATCTCTTGCTTATGTGGTGGCTCAACAAACAAGATGATCAGAATTTGCATGTGTGGGGCTGGGTCATTTTATGGTAAATAGTGAACTGTCTTAAAGCCTGGAAGCAAAGTTTATTATTTCTGCATTGAAGTGTGAATACAGTAAGAGCCCCATGGAAAAGTACTAAGACTTTTTATGAAAATGAGAGGAGGAATGGATGCACCCTCAGTAGTTAGGTTTACTAAACGTGTGCACTCGCTCAGTGGAGGAGATAGGAAGAAGGACATGTAATTAATATGATATCGATTTCATTGATACTGATTAATCATTTTGCTGATGCCAAAGGACATACTTCACTGTCTGTGGAAAAGATTGTATTTTTTCCCTAGAAAGTTTGAATACCTTTTAAGTATGAAATTTCACATGCATGTCATATTTCCCTACTGCCACACTCATGCTTATACCAGATTTATGATTCAGTTGCCCATTTAAGCTCACATGATGTCATTTCAGGGAGAATTGTAGCTACGTCCTTTTGAGAAGAAAGGAATTCAGTTGGGCATGTGGGTTAGAGTCTTTAGTTCTCCCTCTTCTCATTCCTCATGTGAAATTATCTACATTTAACAGTTTTCACGGAGATTTCCAAAACTGCAAATATGCCATTTCTGCTCCGGCATGAACAACTGAGAGCTTTAGGCTTTACATAATTTTTCACAGCCCACTGGACTTAATAATTAATATATAGAATACAGCGTTAAGAACTTCAATTATACCTCTGCAATAATACCAACATAATAAGGGTAGCTAATATTTATCAGTTATTTACTATATATCAGACACCAATGTCTCATTTCATGACTTGTGTGACTTAAGAGGTCCAGTTCTTAACACGTAGTCTCATTTTGGTATCACAGTTCCGACAATGAAGAAAGGGCTGATGTTTCCTCATCTTGCTGAAGCATGGAGTGGACTTGCCTAAAATCCCATAGCTATTAAGGCAAGCTGGGGCTAAAACCCAGATTTCTTGGGTTTTCACACCCTGCTACTATTAGCTTAATCCTATCAAATTCTGAGTGCTTATTGTCTGATAGGACAGTCACGTCATGGAGTGCCTAAATTAAGGCTACATCTGAATTTACCATGACTACTATAGCTTGAAATGCCCCCCACTGCCTGATACCTACCAGTCTTTCTTTTTTTTTTTTTTTAATTGCTTGATCCCAGGAGGTTGAGGCTGCAGCAAGCCGCCCTACCAGTCTTTCTATTGTACATGCTTCATTAAGCCCTGCCTTTTCTCCACATTTCCCAAGAAGTGATTTTCTTTGGTTCTTGATATACTTCTGGTCAGATCATTGGAACTTAACTTTGTTCCTTTATCAGGAAGTTTTTTATCTCATGTACAAGTTCAGTAAACACAATTAGCCAGTGAGCTGGCTTTGGAAAGAAATAGTACACCCTGAAAGAAACATAGTGCCCTTTGGAAAAGAGACTAGATATTGGATATTGCAGATTTTTCTTTTGGGTTACTGGAGAGCAACCTTCCTGAAGCCCACTTGGAGTAAGTCACTCAAGATAGTTCTGTGGCCACCATTTAGCCCCAGTTCCTATGTTGTGTACTTGAGACCGGATCGTAAGACAAGGCAGAGTTGTAAGTTTGTACCCAAAGCCAGCTTACAAATACTCTTACATATACTGGTTTGGGTTTTAAATTATATTTGCCTCTTCTTTCTTATCTTCCCTCACTTTTTTTTCCATTTAAATTAAGGAAATATTTGCCAAGTACTGACCTTGGTGTTGCCAGGCATGAGCTCCAAGGAGCTCAAATAGCTTGGAACCAGCCCCATTTGACTTGAGCTTTTCTCACCTGTTAGGAAGCACAGAAGAAATGGGTTGGTGTCATTATGGTTTATTTTGAGTAATGTGTATTCACTCTGATATGCTGTAGGGAGTTGTTGAAGGTATTTGAGCAGGGGAAGCAACTGGTTTAAATTTGTTGTGTAGGAAGATTAAGCTGGTAGTGGTGCATTGGATGGATTGGAGCACAGGGTGACTGGGTATGGTAGTGATCTCTTGCCTTTGTAGGACACTTGATAGTTTACAAGGCACTTCCATAGATGTATGATCTCATTTGCATGGATGCAAACTAGAGCTCAGAGAGGATTGGTGATAGCTGGCATGTTTAGTAAGGGCTTAAAGAAAGGGGTTGTCGTGGGGAGGAAGCTGGGACCAGTGTGTGTGGCATTTTAGAGGCCAAATCTATAAGGCTTGGGATCCGAGTAGATGTTGGTTATCAGGGAGAATAAGGAGTCAGATAATATTGAGATTTTATGGTTAGACTTCTGGGAAGAGTGTGGCCAGTTATTTACAGAAATAGGGAGATGAGAATATATGCAAGTTTGGTTTTGAGTATTAGACTGAAGGGCAGAGGGATAGTTGAGGTAGCAATATCCACTGAACCGTTTAAAAGCTGGGTGTAAGAGTGGGGTCAAGTGTTTTTGATATTTAGAAGGTCATTGGTGACTTTAGAAAGTAATTTCAGGAGAGTGTTGGAGGCAGAAGCCACATCAGAAAAATAAGAAATCGATGGTTGCTGAGGTAGAACTACGGGAGTGGGAAGGGGTGGATGGGGGCGCAGTGGGAGGTGTTGGTGATCATGTACTCTTCCTTAGGTGCAGAAAGGAGGGAAACAGAGGGAGCCAGACTGCAAGAGGATTTTGAGGTGGAGAGGGTGTGAGTTTGAGGAGCCTCCAACAGAAGACTTCTTTGTGCAGGATTAAGTGAAATCAATTGTACAGTGAGGAGGAAAAGGATTTGGTGCTTAAAAAAAAGGCAGAAGTTGGGACAGCACATGTTGGAAGTATTGAGGGAGGTCAAGACAAGGTGAACCAAAGAAAAGGCTGAACGTTACAAATTTTCAGTGACTCTAGTCAGCATGGTTTTGTGGCTTTCCAGTAGGTTAGAGAAACCAGAAAGCAGAATTAGAAGGAATAAGCATTGGGCCCTTTTCTGGGTTGGGAATTAGAAGTCAAGGAGCATGGCGAGAGTTGAGAAGTTCAAGGGCGTTAGCCTGTTATTATTTCATAGTTGGGCAGAGGTGAGGAAAACTGCTTGCAGGCCATTATTACTTCTGGCAATAATCGAGGGAGAAGGTCAAAGCTAATATTTGAAAGGATAGTTTGGAATTATTGATGATTTGCAATTATCTATGCTAAATCATTTTTTTTAGGGAGTATCTGCACAGAATTAACAAGGAAAGAGAACTCTGAGTATTTTCTTTTGCTTTCGAAAGTCTTGTATCACTGGCCCACTATTGCCTGTTTTTCTCATCTGTAAAACAGATGTAGTTATAGCCTACCTTCACCTGGTTTTGTGTTCACCAGAGATTTGGTGCTGTGTACAATCTGTGACTTTGTGACGACTTAATGACCTTTCTGGGCAACATTTTCCTAATGCTATAGAGTTATGAGTTCATCTTTTATAAACCCTGTTCACTCCCTATTGCAGATCATTGTAAATTTCTCTAAAGCTTCTCCCTCACACATCTTTGTCACCTTTCATTCTTTGAAGTCAAACTTTCACTTTCTTTAAAGCAGGTCTGAAGAAAACCCTGTGGAAGGAGATTGATGCCATTCTGCAGAAGAGGATTATGGTGCTGGATGGAGGCATGGGGACCATGATCCAGCGGCACAAGCTAAATGAAGAGGACTTCCGAGGTCCAGAATTTCAAGACCATGCCAGGCCGCTGAAAGGCAACAATGACATTTTAAGTATAACTCAGCCCGATGTCATTTACCAAATCCATAAGGTAAAGTACTCCCAGGTCCCTGTGTGTATTCATTCTGTTATTCTGCAAGCTGTTTCATGTACCAGGGCAGACTGCTATGCTGGGTACTCTGGAGAGTAAAGAAGAAAGAGGCAGCTTATTCAGAAAGCAGGCTTTGGACGTCAAATAAGAGTCATGTATTATGTTGGGGACTCAGGATAAGGGGATGAGGTAGGTAGATTTTCTGCACTTGAGGCATGTAAACTCTATTGAAAAACTATGAGATGCTGGACAAATAAGAGTTTTCACACTAGTGAGCGTGTGAAAAGTATCTTATTGAAGTCACTGCAATAGCCCTGATGAAGAAATGCTTAAAGGTGGTGTCTTAGCTTTGGCTGGTATATAACTTGTTACCATAGACGGGGTTACACAAGCACACATTTATTTCTCACAGTTCTGGAACCTGGAAGTCCACAGTCAAGGTGCCAGCAGATCTTGTGTCTGGTGAGGGCCCTCTTGTTTATGGATAGCTGTCTTCTCTTTGTATCTTTACATGACGGAGAGCAGAGAGAGGACAAAAAACTCTCATGTTTCTTCTTTTAAGGATACTGCTGTGGTCCAAATGTTTATGACCCCCCTGAGATTCATATGTAAAGTCCCAGTGCCCAATGTGATGGTATTAGGAGGTGGCCTTGTAAAAGAGGCCCAAGGGCACTTATTCACCCCTTCTGCCATGAAGACACAGTGAGAAGATGCTGTCTGTGATCTAGAAAGCTGGTGCTCACCCATTATAAAATTCTCGGATACAACTACCGTTCATGTGTTTCATATTTTAGTCTAATTTTCTATACTTGGATTTAAAAAAATTAAATTGAGATTACATTGCTTCATACTGTCTTATAATTTGCATTTTTTTTTTTGAGATGGAGTTTCGCACTGTCGCCCAGGCTATAGTGCAGTGGCGTGATCTCAGCTCACTGCATTCTCTGCCTCCTGGGTTCAAGCAGTTCTCCTACCTCAGCCTCCCGAGTAACTGGACTACAGGCGTGCGCCCCCACTCCCAGCTAATTTTTTGCATTTTTAGTAGAGATGGGGTTTCACCATGTTGGCCAGGATGGTTTCGATGTCCTGACCTCATGATCCGCCCGCCTCAGCCTCCCAGAGTGCTGGGAATTACAGGCGTGACGTGAGCCACCACGCCCGGCCTGCATTTTTTTACTTATCTACCATGAGTATTAAATATTTTGAAACATGGTTTTAATAACTTCATAATCTATTCTATGTACATATCATCATTTAACTAATCTCCTTATTCCTAGGTTTAAGTTTATTTTCAATTTTTCTTGCTCTTTAAAAAAAAAACTTAAATTAGTTCTTGTAAAACAAATCTCATAGATAAGAATAAATTCTCATTTGACCATACTCTAAATTGCTATTTTTTCCTCAAAGATAACCACTGATATTAGTTGGTGTGTATTGTACCAGATCCTTTTGTTATGCATTTTCATATATGCATATTTGAAGGAATACATATATATATATATATATATATATATACACACACATATATATGTAGAAAACTCATAGTGCTCTCTGTATGCTTTTTTAAATTTAATGGTGTCTTGCTTTACATATCATTCTACTTAATTTTTCTACTCAATAATACTTTGCAGAATCTTTCCATGTCAGTATATGTAGATATACACAGTGGTTGTTTTTTTTTTAGCTGTCACATAGCACCTGATAAAGTGGATATATTATAGTTTATTTAGCTATTTCCCTATTGGTAGATATTTAGGATGTTTGTTACTGTTACTATAAATGTGCATGTCTTGGTTTTCATCCCCCAGTGCTTCTTCAGGCATTGTTCCTCGGCTTCGGAGAGGGTTGGGTTTATTCAGTACTGGAAAGTCAGGGGGGTCAGGAGATTCCAGGGTGCTAGTCAGATTGAGGTTGAGACAATCCAAAGAGTGAAGCTAGGAAGAGTTTTGAAGACAGAGCACAAAGGAGTATCAAGATCATCAAGGTTTCATTAAGGATGTTAACGCTGGTTCAGAGGGACTGGGAGATATAGACTGAAAAAACTGTGGTCAGATCTTGAGATCTCTGAGTTGGTACACTTCTCGGTGGGGATCAGGTTGTGCCAAAGCAGGAAGAAGATAAGGGAACAGAAGGAACAGAACTACCATTTGTTGAGTGCCCACTATGTGCCAGACATTTGATGCACTATCTTTTTTGTTGTTTTTTTGAGACAGGGTCTTACTCTGTCACCCAGGCTGGAATGCAGTGGTGCTACTGTGGCTTACTCTAGCCCACTATGGCTCACTCGAACCTCTGGGCTCAAGCAGTCCTTCTGCCTTAGCCTTCCGAGTAGCCAGGACTACGGGCATGTGCCACCATGCCTGGCTAATTTTTTGTATTGTTTTGGTTACAGACAGGGTCTTTCTATGTTGCACAGGCTGGTTTTGAACTCCTGGCCTCAAGCAGTCCTCTCACTTTGGCCTCCCAGAGTGTTATGATTACAGGCATGAGCCACCATGCCTGGCTGATGTGTTACCTTATATTAGCAAATAGCCACCCTGTGAAGTAGGGTTATAATATTTTTGAATGAGGAGGCTGAGACTCAGAGAGTTTAAGGGACTTGCTTAAATTCTTATAACAGCCTGCTAAGATTGTCTGAATTCAAGTTCTCTTGTTTATTTTTTCATACCACATGCTTTTCTGTGAAATCCTTAAACCTTTTTGCGTCTCTACCTTCTAGTGCAGTACCTTACTCTTAGTAAGTAGTCAAAAGATAGTTGGTGATAATCGTGGTGATGAAAGGGCATGTTTATTCTGGAGGGACAAGAAACTCTAAAACTCATAATTGATATTATAATCTCTTGTTGCAGGAATACTTGCTGGCTGGCGCAGATATTATTGAAACAAATACTTTTAGCAGCACTAGTATTGCCCAAGCTGACTATGGCCTTGAACACTTGGTAAGAATTCCGTTGTTCCATGTTTCCAAGATGCTTGTGAGCTTTTGCTACATTAGAAGTTGCTAGTGAGAAAGCGCTAGAAGCTGCAGAGTCAAGCTCATGCTTAGTTGTATGTTGTTGGTGATGAGACAGGGAGAATGGTGTGAATCCCTTCTGCTTATGAACATAGTGGACCCTTCATTTTCCAACTGGCTTCTTTTACGGGCAAGTCGTAATCAAATAGAAATGATACTTACTATGCAGTAGCTGTTGATAAAGGCATAATCATTGGCCGTATGCATACAGTATTGTGAGGCCTTTTTAAGTATTAGCTGGCAGCCTTTGCTTCTTTCCTTTTTAAAAAATTGTGATAAAATACACATAACATAAAATTTAATGTAATTATTTTTAAGTGTACACTTCAGTGGCATTAAGTACATTCACATGTTGTGCTATCATCACCACTGTCCTTTTCCGGAACCTTTTCCCAAACTGAAACTCTGTGTCCATTAAACAATACCTCCCCATTCTGTACCCCCAACTCCAGCCGCTGCACACTATTCTACTTTCTGTCTCTATGGATTTGACTATTCTAGGTACCTTAGATATGTTGACTCATATAGTGTTTGGCCTTTTGTGACTAGTTTATTTCACTAATGTAATGTCCTCAAGGTTCATCCATGTCATTGTGTGTGTCAGGATTTCCTTCCTTTTTAAGGTTGAATAATATACCATTGTATATGTATACCACGTTTTGCCTATTCATCTCTTGATCATTTGGTTCACCTCTACCTTTCTGCTGTTGTGAATATGCAGTGTTGCTATGTACATGTGTATACAAACATCTATTCAAGTCCCTGCCTTCAATTTTTGTGTATATATACACAGAAATCGAGTTGTTAGATGATATGATAATTCTGTTTAACTTTTTGAGAAACTGCTATACTGTTTTTCAAAGTGGCTGTACGTTTTTTGTTTTTTTTTTTTTTTTTTTTTTTTTTTGAGGCAGAGTCTCACTCTGTCACCCAGGCTGGGGTGCAGTGGCACGATCTCGGCTCACTGCAACCTCTGCCTCCCAGGTTCAAGCAAGTCTCCTGCTTCAGCCCTCTGAGTACCTGGGACTACAGGTGTGCTCTACCATGCCCTACTAATTTTTGTAGTTTTTGTAGAGACAAGTGGTTTTGCCATGTTGCCCACGCTGGTCTCGAATTCCTGAGCTCAGGTAATCTGTCTGCCTCAGCCTTCCAAAGTGCTGGGATCATGGGTGTGAGCCACGAGCGCGGCCAGCTGTACCATTTTACATTCCCACCAACAGTGAGCTAGAGTGTCAATATTACCATTTATTTTCTATTTTTTTTTTTGATGGTAGTCATCCTAATGATTACTACTGGCAGATTTGTTTTCCTTTTAATTGACATGATGCTTCCATATTTAAATTTTATAAAACCTTAATGATAGAAATCTGTGGTAGATGTTAATGTCCCCATTTTTGTGTGGGATATTTCCAGACACATTATTCTGTTTTCATGTAAGCAGTGTCTTACAGTTACTTTTGTGTCATTTTGGAGCAGAAGTTGGCCGACATTTTTAAATAAAGGGCCAGATAGTACGTATTTTGGCTTTGTTAGCTATATACAGTCTTTTGCAACTACTCAACTCCATCATGTAGTGTGGAAGCATCTATAGACATTATGGAAATAAATGGGTATACTTTATCTCAGTAAAACTTCACTTACAAAAATAGGCAGTGGACTCGATTTGCCCTATGAGCCAAAGTTTGCCAACATCTATTTAGGATATTCTGGGTGTTAAATTACTGGATGTGAGTATTCAAGACACATAGGACCTTAAGAATTCAAAGGAACCTGAAGATCACAAGTCTAAGTTCTCCTGACTTGGTCTGTGGAAGAGCTTCTGGAGGACCTTGAACCTCCTTAAATCATAGGGAACACTGTGTGTATATGTGCGTATTTGCTTTTTACTTCCTAACGAGAGTGTTCATAGTCCTTTATCAAATTCTCAGGTGGTTAATAATATGCAAAAAGTTCAGAATTACCGATTCCAACTGTTGTACATGAATCAAGGCCTGGGAAAGTTACTGTGGGAACTGCCTGGTCAGGCAGTGACGGACTAGTCTTCGAATCCACGTGTTTTGCCTCCCCATGCTTTTTCCATTTGCTATATTTTTTTCTTAATTCTCAGAATATTTAACCACACAGGTTATTCTCTGACATGCTAGCTGTCTAGGGATTGTCCTTTTTTTTTTACCAGCTAGCTCATGATTTGGGAGGAGAACCTAAAAGCATTCCCCAAGGACTCTTGTCTTTCCTTGCTGCCTTTCACGCCTGGAGCTGGTATGCCTTCTTGGCTAGGATTTCACTCAGACCTCAGATTAATTCACTCTACATTTCCTTACTGAAGAAAACTGAGTATTTGATGGTCATGAATCCACTACTTATCATGTGGAGGAAAAGAAGGACAAGCTAACTTTTGTGGTTGATATGTATTAGGCCTACCGGATGAACAAGTGCTCTGCAGGAGTGGCCAGAAAAGCTGCCGAGGAGATAACTCTCCAGACAGGTAAGGAATGTTCTCTTTTTTTGCACACGTGGTTCCTTTGATACTCTCAGCTATAATGTGGTGTCTTTATTGCAGTTTTTCCTTATGTGGCCTTTGGCTTAGGAGCAACACTGGAAACACTGTATTATACATGTTTGTAGATAACTTCTCTGCAGTTTCATAATCAAACACTCAACACCTTTGAATTGATGCCAGCCCTGTGGTCCTTGGGCTCAGAATTTGCTCTTTTACCCTGGTTTAGCCTGACTTTGTAGCTAGGCCCCTGACTTTCTCGTGTAATTAGTGCTGAAATAATTCATCAGGTGATTACAGTAACAGCTGGCCGTTTTGATTATCTTGGCTATTATTAGGATAGTTGATCTCATTTTTTAAAGGTACTGTCATTTCCGTGATTAGCTGATGCAGGTAGAGATACTGCCTTTCCAGCATTCCCGCTTTACTATTGATGTCCTTGAAGGCTCTGTGAAGCACACAAAAGAGTGTGGCATTAGAATCAGTCGTGCTGGGACTTGAGAAGTGGCTCCTGAAATAACTAGCCTCTTGGCTGGATGCCATCAGAATGCTTGGACACCAGCTGGTAGGAGGCTTTGAGGGAAGGAAAAGAATATGAGAAATAAATGGAGAACCTTAAGATTTGGAAACGTGAAGTTATTGCCAACAGGAAAGCAAAATTGCTGTGAAGTTATACATAGCATACTAATGAAGACCAATGTAGTTTATAGGAACTCTGTTTCTAAGAGGTAATGTTTAAATTCATGGCAGTGCATAGACTATTACTCCAACAGAGTCACAGGTCAGAGGATACTGAACCAGCTAAAGCAGGGAGAGATAAGGACATTTTTCTTATGCCAACATTATTGCTTAGCTTTGGGGATGAGAAAGAATATTTGGGCCTGTAACCTGTTCAGAAGCTGGTTTATCAATTAGCTGATAGTCTTCTCCAGTTAAATATAGCATAGCTCAGGTTATTGAGTCGCCAAAGTCATCAAGGTAATGAGCAGTACGACCTCTGGCTTCTGTGTGAATGAACACAACTTCCCACGCCATTTTAGAAGCACCTAGATTCCAGGCTAGAGGAAAATTTATTAAAGAAAGATTTGCTGTACTTCATACTTCCAATTTCAGACTTTATAATTGTTAATCCTGATTTAGTATCTCCTCCTGGTGAAGAGCCTGCAATATGGTACTGGAGAGCATTTCAAGTTAAATGCTACCGTGAGGTGATTTTGCAGAACTTATGTTAAGCTCAAAACCTTCAAGGTCTCATAAAAATAGGAGGAGAGGGAATTTGTCCAAACACAACTGTGGTAATAGAAAAGGATTACTTACTGAAATGTTTTAGTCAGTTGTGTGAGAATTCAGAGTTTTGGGGACTGGTTCCGTGATAATATGTGCATATCTCCTCTATGGCATAATTTCCTTGGTGGGATCTGGTGCAGCCCCATGATCAAATATATATAAGCAAAATCTATGAATCATCTGTTTAGGAGAGGTCAAGTTTTATTGTCAAATTGAGAAAAAAGTTTGGCCTTTTAGAGCTTTTTGGATTTCAGAATTATGGACAAAAGATTATAGACATGTGTTCTAGAAAAAAATCTTACTGGCTATTCACAATAAAAAATGTTCAGCCATTTAGAGATTTCATACTTATTTTTCTTCTCCTAAAGGAATTAAGAGGTTTGTGGCAGGAGCTCTGGGTCCGACTAATAAGACACTCTCCGTGTCCCCATCTGTGGAAAGACCGGATTATAGGAACATCAGTGAGTATTTATCACATACAATCATTGATTTGGGCAAGTAGCTCTGTCCTTCAGTAAGCTATAAATCTGCAAAATGGAACCAATAACAGGATCTACCATAGAGTTACTTTGACTTAATCCATGTAAAAGATATACCACAGTACCTGGAATATAGTAGACATCTAAATAAAAAGTTAGCTATGATGATGATTATTGTTTGAACTTGCTTTCAAATATGTATGGTGTTGTGTTAATGCTGCCTTGTCAGCTGTGGAAATGAAACCAACAAAAACAAAACTAAACTCAGAAGTTGAGCAAATTTGGGTATTAGGTTTTTGGTCTGTTATAAAATAGCTCACTATATCCTCATTCATCAGAAGACAGTCCAAACTATCTAGACATCTGTATTAGTCCATTTTCACACTACTGATAAAGACAAGACTGAGCAATTTACAGAAGAAAGAGAGGTTTAATGGACTTACAGTTCCATGTGGTTGGGGAAGCCTCACAATCATGGCAGAAGGGAAGGAGGAGCAAGCCACATCTTACATGGATGGCAGCAGGCAAAGAGAGAGCTTGTGCAGGCAAACTCCCCCTTATATAACCATCAGATATCATGAGACCTATTCACTATTACAAGAACAGCATGGGAAAGACCTGCCCTCATGACTCAATTACCTCCCACCAGGTACCTCCCACAACATGTTGGAATTCGAGAAAGATTTGGGTGGGGACACAGCCAAATCATATCAACATGCTAGCATTATGAATCTTATACGCTACCATATATAAACATACTTATATTGGGGTTTGACAAAAAAAGAAATCCAAGTATCTAGGTCAATTTCTAAGCATCAGGACTATTAAAAACAAAAAGCATTAAATTAACAGAGCTGAATTGTCATGATACCATATCTGGCAGTGTAGTCTGTGGAGATGATGAGATCAAGCAAGTATAGTTTGTAGGGTTTTGGTTTATGGAACTTTATGTGTCATGATACCACGCTTTTTCATCAGGAGTTGCCCATACCAGGCTTATGTGTGGTTGACACTCTCTTTTGTCTAGACATGCCAGTGGGGAGCTAACTTCTCCTTGCTCTTGGGCTGTACAAGGTGGAGTACAGTAAGTCTTGACTTAATGTCATCGGCAGGTTCTTGAAAACTGCACTTTTAAGCAAAATGATGCATAGCAGGCCCTCAAATAATGTCATTTCCTTCAACAGCGTTTCATTATAATATTGATAAGAAAATACTGGTTTTGTTCTATATTGTCTTAATCAGAGTTGCAATTTCTGAGAACCTGTCAACGATGTTACAGGAGGACCTACTGTTTATTCAGACAGCAAGCATAACTTCACAGTATAGCCTTCTCTACTAGATATCTGAGCATTTTTTCTTTTTTGGTTGGGAGATAAAATAGGGAGAGAGATGATCGCTCATATGGAAATAGATAACCTAAGACTTTTTTTTTTTTTTTTTTTTGAGACAGTGTCTCACTTTGTTGCCCAGGCTGGAGTGCAGTGGCATGACCTTGGCTCACTGCAGCTTCTACCTCCCAGGTTCGAATGCTTATCCTGCCCCAGTCTCCCCAGTAGCTGGGACTGCAGGTGGGTGCCACCGTGCTGGGCTAATTTTTGTATTTTTAAAGTAGAATCGGGGTTTCACCATGTTGGCCAGGCAGGCCTTGAACTCCCAACCTCAAGTGATCTGCTCTCCTTGGCATCCCACAGTGCTGATGTGAGCCACTGCACCGGGCCAACCCAAGACATTTATAACAAAAATTTTACCTAGGGGTGATTGAATACTTTTTGTTTGAGACTGGAATTGCCCACCAGACAGGTTTCTTCTCTGACAGAGTTTGTGTAAGACCAGAGACAAAATCTGTGGCCCTACAGCCGTTTACCACAGTGAGTGACTTGAACTCAGTTTGTGACCTACCCACGTCAGTGTGGCATGTTTCTCAGTTACCTCTTAACCGGTTGATTGAAATGAGCTATGGAAAGAATGATGTATTTCAAAGATGTTGAATATGAGGTACATGTTCAAGAAATTCATACACCGTCCCTCTTCTCAGCTCATACACGGGAAGTGGAAGTTATGTGGCAGGCGTTTAGGAACAACTGCGTTCAGCTTACTTGTTTACCTCCTGTCCCTGCCACATTTCTTTATTTGGTTTCTTACAAAAGATCATGTTCTTAAACTATGCATTGTAAACCAGCAACAGTTCACAGGTGCCAGACCTGTACTTGGATACTCTAGGGCCATTCAGAGATTACTGATGACTGATGTGCTGGGTGTGATTTATTTTTTGCAGCATTTGATGATCTTGTTGGAGCATACCAAGAGCAAGCCAGAGGACTTCTGGATGGCGGGGTTGATATTTTACTCATTGAAACTGTTTTTGATACTGCCAATGCCAAGGTGAGTTAAGGGAGAAAAAACAGACAGGGCTGGGTGAGGGCTATCGGTGAGTCCCCTAATGTAGGGAGAAGATAATATTAGCCATTATCAAAGTTAAATAAATTACCTGTATTTGCTCCATTTTATTCTTGAATATTTTTAACTGAGGCCAGTACAATAAGAAAAACTTGAAAAAACCTGCTTTTGAAGCTGTTAAAGTAACTTTTTCTAATTAGGAAAATAAATATTTTCATATACAGCTACTATAAGTGCATATGTCCCTAGGTAATAAATACATGCTGCTGGTTCTAAATTTGAAAGATACATAAATATATGGAGTGAAAAGTGAATTTCTTTTCCTTTCCTTTCCTAGTCTGTAGTTATCTAGCTCCCTTTCCAGAGACAACTATAATTACCAGTTTGGGGGTCCTGACAGATACTATGCAGATATGAGCATGCATGTACGTGTATGTGTGTGTGTGTGTTCCTTACATACATGCAAAGGCACATAAGTGTATGGGGAGAGAAGCAAATATCCTTATACATATGTTTTTATACAGTATATCTATAGGATACATTTCTACAAGTAAAATTGCTGAATCAGAGGGATGTGCATTGGTAATTTTTGTCTTTAGTGTCAAATTACCCTCCTTTGTGACTGGACTCATTTATACTCCCTTCAGCAGGCGGTGTACAATAATGCTGGTTTCACGACACCCTCACTAGCACTGTTTGACCTTTTTCAGTTTGACACGTGGTCCCTCACTGTAGTTTTAACTTGCTTATTTCTTGAGCATCTTTCTTCAGTTTTAGAGCCATTTATATTTCTTTTTCTGTGGTTTATGTCTTCTGTCCTTTTTACTATTGGACTTTGGCTTTTTAAAATTGAGTCCTTTACTGAGGAAATCAGGTCCTTGTCAATCATGAGTAGCAATACTGTCCTCTGGCTTGTTTCACATTTGACTTTATTTATGGTGGTGATGGTGGTAGTGTTGTGGCATTGTTTTGTGTGTATGTGTGCTTTAATAGTATAGGAGATTTTTTCTTAAATGTTGTATGGTTGAATTTACAGATTCTATTTTTTTATGGAGGGAGAGGGAAGATTATACTTACAGAGGCACTCCTTGGTCAAAGAGAGGAAAAAAATGGAAAAATGGCCTTTTCCTCCCTAGTATTTTACAGTTGCATTAAATGTTTAATTGTTGTGGAAATAAGACCACAGATCCCAAATATTTGAACTTAAAAAAAAAATCATTTTCTAAAATACTTGCAAGCAGGAAGAATGTAGAGAGCCACTACCAGCCTGAAGCTAGCTGCCTACCCTACCTCACTCTTCACATATCACTTTTATTAAGTTCTTTTTATATATCTTTTAAGAAATTGTTTTGTGAACCTCCAGTAAAGAAATTATAATTTTTTTTTTTTTTTTGAGACGGAGTTTCGCTCTTGTTACCCAGGCTGGAGTGCAATGGCCCGATCTCGGCTCACCGCAACCTCCACCTCCTGGGTTCAGGCAATTCTCCTGCCTCAGCCTCCTGAGTAGCTGGGATTACAGGCACGCGCCACCATGCCCAGCTAATGTTTTGTATTTTTAGTAGAGACGGGGTTTCACCATGTTGACCAGGATGGTCTCGATCTCTTGACCTCGTGATCCACCTGCCTCGGCCTCCCAAAGTGCTGGGATTACAGGCTTGAGCCACCGCACCCGGCCAAGAAATTATAATTTTAAAAGGAATTCAGATACACATTTTGAAAATAAGAGCAGTAACAAACAAGATAAGGAATATATTTGAAATGAGATTCATATATACATTTGAAAAGAGTCACAGTATTGTTTAGATTAGAAATAAGAGGGATTAACATTCGGGGATAAAACATTAAGGATAGGTTTTGTTGAGTTTCTAAGTTTCAAATGTGTGGCACACATTCTTCTGATTATACAGAACTAGTTTCCCTCACAATGCATCTGGTATTTATTTTGGAGTGAGAAATAAAATCGAGAGCTAACTTTTTCCCTCTAAAGTTTAGTTTTCCTACCACCATCTATTAAACATCCTGTTATTTCCCAGTGATAGGAATGATGTGGAGCATTATCCTTATCATCCAAAATTCGAGAGTGCATTTGGATCTAGTGTTTTCTAGTAATCTGTTTGCTGATGTGACACTACTGGACTATTAGCCATAACATTAGAATATGTCTGAGTAACTGGTAGACCTAGATTTTTTTTATTTTTATTGAGTCCCACCCCCTTTTCCGGAACTTTCATGGCTATTCTTATATGTTTGTTTTCCATAAGATCTTTAGGATCAATTTGTCTGGTTCTAAAATGGAAATTCTGATATTGTTGATTTAGTAACTTTCCATGAAAAAAACCTACCATCACTGGAAAGGGACACATTACAGGTTGCGTTCTGATTTCAGAGAATTAATTGTGAAAACATGCCTATCTTAGAATCAAGCACCGTAATGACAAAAAGAGATCTGTTGCCTGGAACTTAAAATGTGGACGGAACAGCACAGAGTAACATGGGATTTGTACCTTTACTACCTAATCTCAGCTCATGCTGTCTTTCACAGTGCTGGAAGTGATGCTGTAGGTTCATATACTTAACCATGTATATGAAAGGATATGAAAGGCAGGGACATTATTATTTATTTATTTATTTTTGAGACAGGGCCTTGCTCTGTCATCCAGGCTGGAATGCAGTGGCATGATCACAGCTTAGCTGCAACCTTGAACTCCTGGGCTCAGGCAGTTGTTCTGTCTCAGCCTCCTGAGTGTTATTTATTTACTTTTAATTTTCATTGAGAAAAAGAAGAAAGAATAGCTCTTCAGCTCCTCCTCAGAGGCAGTAGTTTCTAGGTAGACTTTAAGTCAGGATTTGTTTTATTTTAATATGCACAGTATTACATTTGAGAAAGGGGTGCTGGGGTTGGGCCTTGTAAGGAAGATGCTTCTTCCTAGAGAGCTTGATGCATATCTTATCTGAAGAGGTCTTAGAAAAGGGTGCCTTCTAATTGGGAAGTTATACTAACCTTGGACACAGTCTCAGAAATAAAGGCATTCTCCCTTTTTTCCCTGACAGGCAGCCTTGTTTGCACTCCAAAAACTTTTTGAGGAGACATATGCTCCCCGGCCTATCTTTGTAAGTTCTAATGTGTTTGCACAATACATTCTGTCTTTTATTAATAATTGTTCTTTTGAGCATGTTTTCCCCGCTTGCATAGTAGAACTGTTGATAGTATCTTTTAGAATTCATCTACTTTAACTTCTGTTCACTTCCCTCCCACCACTTCTAGATCAATAACAGTCTTTTATCTGGAGAGGCAAGGAAAATGAATCTAGAAGTAGTTGGTGGAAGGCAAGCTGTTCAAAAGAAGCCCACTGTATTGGTCCTTGAAGTTAAAGACTTCAAGACTGATTAGGGCCTAAGGAGGGCTGGACTTGCATGCTGATGGCCACATACTCAACACAGAAGACACCAGACTGCCAGCTTATTAACTCAATAGGCGTACCTCTCTGTGAGTCCTAAAATTGCTTGATGAGAATCGAATCAAATCAAAACATGGGTGTTAGATAAATCCAATGTTTAACAGCAGGAGGTCAGGACGACTCGAGGTTGTCTCTGGGAAACCTGCCTCTAACGAGACTGGACATGTGAAATCCAAGGCTGTTTTGGTCATTGCTTTTGCTTCAGGGACTTTCCCTTGTCTCTGTTTCTGTGGCTTCTTGCGTTCTCCCTCAAGTCTCTTGGCATATGTCTATTCTAACTGTTACAGAAAGTGCTCCCTTTGATTTTGAGTTCCACAGCTCTTTTACTTGTAAAAGGACAAAGGAAGTCAGCTTGTTCATTTTATTTTGTCTTTATACCTATATTCTTAACTTGAGTCTGTATTGTTGACTTCGTTTGCTTTGTCAATTCAGATTTCGGGGACGATTGTTGATAAAAGTGGCCGGACTCTTTCTGGACAGACAGGAGAGGCATTCGTCATCAGTGTGTCTCATGCAGACCCGCTCTGGTGAGTGATCCATCTTTCCTTGACTTCCCTTCTTTTTTGAGGAACCTTTTCTGATGACTGTGGAATATGACCTGGGAGGGGATTGCTTTCACATATTTTCACTGTACCACACTTCTGCTATATTGACTTTTCTTTAAGTACTTTCAGACTTTTCCCTAAAGGATGTAGAAGATCACTGGCTAAATGGGTCAATTTGAGGGACTGGGAGAGTTCTCATACTTCCAAATGGTTGCCTGTTTGTCTGTAGAGGTGCCCCTTATAGTTTGCAGTGCTTTGCAAATTTTAGGCCAGTGCCACTCCCTATTTATGAGGCAACCAGAAGCAATCTGTCTGGGAATTAAGTGGGAATTCTAAAGCTCAGGTTTTTATCTGTAAAGCGAACACAGCACTTGGCACGGTGGTGTGTGCCCGTAGTCCCAGCTTCTTGGGAGGTGGAGGCAGGAGGATCTCTTGAGGCCAGGTGTTGGAGGCTGTAGTATACTATGATAGCTCCGTGAATAACCACTGCATTTCAGCTTGGCCAACATAGCAGGACCCTTTCTCTAAAGAATTAAATTAACGTGACTTTCACAATCTATTTAAAAATATCTCCCTATTTATATTTTATTTTTCATATCAAAATGTTTTAAATTGTGTACTTTGAGTGACATGGAAGAGCCTCTGAGTATGTATACTGTATTTTGCCTGGACTTTTTAAATTCCTGGGCTTTTTTCTTGTATTCCTCTTGCCCGGAAGCTCTGCTGGTCGTCTTCGCCCCTTCCCCCTCTTCCCTTCCTCCATACCCGTTCACTTTGTTGACTTCTTCTTAGCCTTTAAGACTTATCTCAGGAAACTTCCCTCTAGTGAACATTCTCCCTCTCATTAGCCCAGGTCGATGTCTTTGTTTACTTTTATTTTAGCCTTTGCTATAAAAAGTCAGAATAATGGACATTTGTTGAGAGTTTGCTGTGTGCCAGGCTCTGTTCTAAGAGCTTTATGTGAGTTCTTTCTTTAATTCTGGCAATAACACCTTGAGGGCAGGTACTAGTATTAATGTACCCATTTTAACAAGAAGGTTACTGAGACTCAGAGGTTGTAACTTGCCCAAGGTGAAGTAAATAGAGGACCTGGGAACAGGAGCATACTGTTTACCACCGTATTAGATCACATTATACCAATTATCTGATGTTCTTTTTTTCATACTTAAATGTTTGTAATTACAGAGTACATCTTACAGTTGACTTAGTGTCATATTGTGATTTCTTAAAAGGTGCCATTAATTTAAAGTGCATTAACAGACATTTGATTGGGCCTGATAACTAAGAAAAGCGTCATATTGAATTGGGTTGTGATGACCTATTTCACAGCTTATGAGGTTTTCCTGAGCAGTCTCTTCATCTTTATTTCTCTAGTGTTAAGTAGAATTCTTGGCACATAATAGGGATCTAATAAACATTTAACAGGAAAACTGAAGATAGGAAATGTAGAGGTCTCTGAAGACACAAACGTTGTCTAGTTTATTTAAAGTTTTTTTGCCTATCTGTGAATATTTCGAGCGTTCCTCCCTTCGTTGTCTTTCTCTTTTCCCACCCCCTTTGCCAGGTCTTAGTTTGTTAATGTGGTTAAGTAAATGATACTGTAATGGATATATGTTACTTGTGATGTATTTGTCAAAACCCACAGAATATACAAAAAAAGAATGAACCCTAATGTAAACTATAGACTTCAGTTACTAATCATGTATTAATACTGGTTCACATTGTAATAGGTGTACCACACCAATCCAAGATTTTAATAATAATGATAGAATCTTTCCTAGCAGTTAGGCAAAACCTCTGTGTTGTCTTGAGTGTCATTGGAGCCTTTAGTTTGCCAACAGTTCTCAAGGGCCCCTTAGAGGATGTTCTTCCTGACACTGTCTCACCTGCAGGAGCCTTGAGATGAGGTTTTATTGAGATCTAAATAATTTGTTTTTATTTCTTAAGCAACCATTCAGTTAATTCTGACTTTTGATCCACTCAGTGGTTAATTTAAAAATTTTTAAAATAATCCTTTGTATGACTTCAACTACAGCCTACTCACAGAGAGAATGTATTTGGCCTTTATTTTGTTATGAACCTGACAGACTGTAGGAGCAGATAGGAGCAAATAATATGTGAAAAGGACACATATTCTTACATATATGTAAGAAACTGTTGCTTACAGACTTGTGATTATCACAAACTATAGAGCAGTGGGATAGAACCTTTATATTACTGCTAATTCATCAAGTATTTATTGAAATACTACTATAAGCCCTGGAATACAGGCCAATGTGGAATAGTCCACACTAGGAGAAATGCATAAGTAAATTAAAATATAAAATACACAGTGTTGTACAGAACTATGAATAAAAATCTGGCAATACATAGGAGTAATGGAGTATTGTGGTATTTAGAGACAGCTTTGAGCTAGGTTTTAAAAACATGAGACAGAGTTTTCTAACCAAAGAAAGGATGAATGTGTCCAAGTGAGGTCATAGCAATGGAAGAACCGTATAGTTTATAAGACATTTTCTTTGTTTTGAGTTTTTATCTTTCTTATTATTGTTTTATGATTTCCAACTTTTAAGTTCAGGGGTATATGTACAGGATGTGCAGGTGTGTTACACAGGTAACATATAACCGTAACATGTAACCATAACATGTAACCATGGTGTTTTGCTGCACAGATCATCCCATCACCTAGATATTAAGCACAGCATCCATTAGCTATTCTTCCTGATGCTCTCCCTCCTCCTACCCCCTACCTTCTGACAGCCCCAGTGTGTGTTGTTCCCCACTGTGTCCATGTATTCTCATCATTCAACTCCCACTTATAAGAGAACATGCAGAATTTGGTTTTCTGTTCCTGCTTTACTTTGCCCAGGATAATGGCTTTCAGTTCCATCCATGTCCCTGGGACATGATCTCGTTCCTTTTTATGGCTGCATAGTATTCCATGGTGTCCATATAGTACATTTTCTTTATCCGGTCTGTCATTGATGGGCATTTAGGTTAATTCCGTGTTATAAGACATTTTCATATATGGTTTAATTTGAACTTTATATTTAACCCTGAGAACTGATCAGGCATTATTTTCTTCATTCAACATATAAAGAATTGAAGTCATGTAACTAATGAAAATATGAGTTAATGTTAGAACTGGGTTTGGGAAAAAGTCTAGGATCCTTTCTAACAATAACATGATGATTTAACATTTTTTGTTTGTTTTTTGAGACATAGTCTCACTCTGTCGCCCAGGCTAGAGTGCAGTGGCATGATCTCAGCTCACTGCAACTTCCATCTTCTGGGTTCAAGTGATTCTTGTTCCTTAGCCACCTGTGTAGCTGGGATTACAAGCGTGTGCCACCATGCCCAGCTAGTTTTTGTATTTTTAATAGAGATAAGGTTTTACCATGTTGACCAGGTGGCCTTGAACTCCTGGCTTCAAGTGATCTGCCTGCCTCAGCCTCCCAAAGTGCTGGGGTGACAGGTGTCAGCCACCACACACAGTCAAGTTTTTCATTTTTATGTGATGTTGAGTCCGGTGACAGTAGCGTAAGATTTTTTTTTTTTTTTTTAAAGAGAATATTCCAAGGGGAACAGGTAAAAGAACAAAACTGAGTCAGTCTATTCGAGGACTGTAAATTAGCCGTGCATTGGACCTAGCAGTCTTAACTGAGATGTGATTCTGTCAGGCATCAATGATCACAGAATTGTGTTTATTTTAGATTAGTTTCAGGTTTTCAGAAAAATTGAGCAGAAAGTACAGAGAGTTCTCATACAGTCTCCCACTCCAGTACTCCTATTTTCAACAGCTTGTTTTTGGTGTGGTACACCTATTACAATATGAACCAATATCGATATGTTACTGTTAACTAAAGCCTATAGTTTACCTTAGGGTTCCTTCTTGGTTTTATATATTCCTTGGTTTTGTATATTCTGTGGGTATTGAAAAATATATCATGAGTAACATATATCCATTACAGTATCATACAGAATAGTTTCATTGCCCTAAAATTCCCCTGTGTTCCATTTACTTATCCTCTTTCCCAGCTCGCTGGCAATGAATCTTTTCACTCTCTGTAGTTTTGCCTTTTCCATAATAGAAATATTGTTGAAACCACGTAGTATGTAGCCTTTTCAGACTGGCTTTTTTCACTTAGTGATGTTCACTTAAGGTTCATTTGTCTTTGTAAGCTTGGTAGATTATTTCTTTTTAACATTAAATAATATTCCGCTGTGAATATGTATTTCTTTTTAACACTAAATAATATTTCGTTGTGATGAAGTACTACAGGTTTTTTTTCCGTTTGCATATTGAAAACCATCTTGGTTGCTTCCAAGTTGTAGCAATTATGAATAAAGTTCCTATGGCCTTTCCGCGCTACCCACAGAGGGGTACATACGGCGTTGTTCTGGATTCCTGTCATAACTTAAAGCGAAACTTTCACAATGTCCAGAGCCCTTGATTTCCTGCAAATCAAGGAGGATGTTCTTAAGTTCCTGGCAGCAGGAACCCATTTAGGTGGCACCAATCTTGACTTCCAGGTGGAACAGTACATCTGTAAAAGGAAAAGTGATGGCACCTACATCATAAATCTGAAGAGGACCTGGGAGAAGCTTCTGCTGGCAGCTCGTGCCATTGTTGACATTGAAAACCCTGCTGATGTCAGTGTTATATCCTCCAGGAATACTGGCCAGAGGGCCGTGCTGAAGTTTGCTCCTGCCACTGGAGCCACTCCAGTTGCTGGCCGCTTCACTCCTGCAGCCTTCACCAGCCAGATCCAGGCAGCCTCCTGGGAGCCACTGCTTCTTGTGGTTACTAACTCGAGGGCTAACCAGCAGCTTCTCACAGAGGCATTTTTTCTTTGAGATGGAGTTTCACTCTTGTTGCCCAGACTGGAGTACAGTGGCGCGATCTCAGCCCACTGCAACCTCCGCCTCACAGAGGCATCTTATATTAACTTACAAACCATTGCTCTGTGTAACACAGATTGTCCTCTGCGCTATGTGGACATTGCCATCCCATGCAGCAAGGGAGCTCGCTTGCTAGGTTTGATGTGGTGGATGCTGGCCTGGGAAGTTCTGCACATGCATGGCACCATTTCCCATGAACACTTGTGGGAGGTCATGCCTGATCTCTGCTTCTACAGAGATCCTGAAGAGATTGAAAGAGCAGGCTGCTGCAGAAAAGGCGTAGCCAAGGAGGAATTTCAGGGCGAATGGACTGCTGCAGCTCTTAAGTTCACTGCCACTCAGCCTGAGGTCGCACACTGGTCTGAGGCATGCAGGTTCCCTCCGTGCGTATGCAGTAGTTCCTACTGAAGACTGGAGCGCCCAGCCTGCCACGGAAGCCTGGTCTGCAGCTCCCACTGCTCAGGCCACTGGATGGGTAGGAGCAACCACTGAGTGGTCTTATGCTGTTCTTGCACGGGCTCTTAAGCAACATGGAAATAAGGCTGACAGAAAATAAACATCAGTTGCTTCAAAAAAAAAAAAAGCTCCCGTGAACATTTATGGCAGGTTTTTGTGTAGACATAAGTAGATTTCCATTCATTTGGGTAAATAACAAGGAGAGGATTGCTGGATCTTACAGTAAGACTATGTGTCTTGTGAGAAACTGCCAAACTGTCTTCCAAAGCTGCTGTTGCATGCTGTACTCCCACCAGCAGTGAACGAGAGTTCCTGTTGTTCGCATCCTTCCCAGCATTTGGTGATGTCAGTTTTGGATTTTAGCCATTCTGATAGGTCTCTTGTTTTATTTGCAGTTCCTTAAAAACATATGATGATTTTGAGCATCTTTTCATATGTGTACTTGTCATCTGTATATCTTCTTTGGTGAGAGGTCTGTTGAGCTCTTTAAACAGTTTTTAAAATTGGATTTATTGTTGAATTTTAACAATTCTTTGTATATTTTGGATACAAGTCTATCATAGTCTACTTTCTATTGCTGTAAAAGAATCCCCAAGTCTGGGTAAATTTATAAAGAAAAGAGGTTTAGCTCACGATTCTGGAGTCTGAGAACTTCAAAATTGAGTGGCCACATCTGGCAAGGGCCATGGGCTGCTTCTTAGCGTGACCAAAAAGTGAAAAGGCATGTTAACATGTGTGAAAGAGAGGGGACAAAAGAGACTGGCTTTCTTTATAACAGCCTGTTCTTGAAAGAAGTGGTTTATTCCCTTGAGAACTAATTCAGTCTCCAGGTAACTAACCCCAGTCTCTGGAGAAAGACAGTAATCCATCTTAATGATCTAACCACCTTGTAATGGCCTCACCTTCCAACACTGTTACATTGGCAATTACGTTTCAACATGAATTTTGGCGTGGACAAACCGCATCCGAACCATAGCAAATCCTTTATCAGGTATGTGTTTTGCAAATACTTTCTCCTAGCCTGGGGTTTGTCTTCTCACGCTCTTAATACTGTCTTTTACTGAACAATTTTAAATCTTAGTGAAGTTCAGGTTATCAATTTTTTTTTTCATGGATCTTGCCTTTGGTGTTTTACCTGAAAACTCATTGCCAAACCCATGATCATTCAAATTTTTTTCTGTGTTATTTACAGAATTTTAATCGTTTTGCAATTTATATATAGGTCTGTCTTCCATTTTGAGTTACTTTTTGTGAAAGATGTAATGTCTGTATCTAAATTAACTTTTTCAAATGCAGATGCCCAGTTGTTCCAGCACCATTTATTGAAAAGAATATCCTTTCTCCATTGGATTGCCTTTGTTTCTGTCAAAGATTAGTTGAATATATTTGTGTGGTTTTGTTTCTGGACTCTATTCTGTTCCATTAATCTATTTGTCTCTTCTTTCACCAATTCCACACTCTCTTAATTGCTTTAGCTTTTTAGTAAGTCTTGGAGTCAGTAGGTCAGTCCTTCAACTTTTGTTCTTTTCTCTCGTTATTGTGTTGGCTATTCTGGGACTTTTGTCTTGCCATATAAACTTTAGGATCAGTTTGTTGATATTCACAAAATAACTGCTTGGATTTTCATTGGGATTGTGTTGAATACAGATCAAGTGAGAGAATTGACATCTTAACAATATTAAGTCTTCCTCTTCATAAACTGGGAGTACCTTTTCATGTATTTAGATTCACTTTGATGTCTTAAATTGGAATTTTATAGTTTTTTCATATAGATCCAATTTTATAGTTTTTTTCAAATGATCCAAGATAATTTGTTTTGGTGCTAGAGTAAATGGTTTTGTGGATTTTTTTTCCCCCCCCGAGACAGGTTCTCACTGTGTCACTCAAGCTGGAATGCAGTGGCATGATCATGGCTCACTATAGCCTCAACCTCCCAAATTTAGTTATCTGCCACCTTAGCCTCCTAAGTAACTGAGACTATAGGTGTACTCCAGCATGCCTGGTTAATTTTTCTTTTTCTTTTTTTTTTTTTTTTTTCCAGAGGTAGGGTTTTGCTATCAAACTCCTGGGCTCAAGTGATCCACCTGCCTTAGCCTCCCAAATGCTGAGATTACAGGCATGAGCCACTATGCCTAGCCTGTATTTCTAATTTCAAATTTTGGTTGCTCATATCTGGTATAATTTTTGTATATTTGCCTCATATTTTGTAAACAATTTTTGTATATTTACCTCATATTTTGAAACCTTGGTATAATTGCTTATTAGCTCAAGGAGTTTTTAGTGATTCTTTGGGATTTTCTACATAGACAGTCATGTCATTTGTGAACAGACAGTTTTATTTCTTCCTTTCCAATTCGTACGTATACCTTTTACTTTCTCTCTTTTCTTATTGCATAGGACTTCATATACGATATTGAATAAGAGATGAGAGTGGAAATTCTGGCCTTATTTCTCATCTTAGCAGGAAAGCATCTAGTTTCACATGATTAAGCATGATATTAGCTGGAAGTTTTTTGTAGATATTCTTTATCAAGTCAAGGAAATGTCCCCCTATTCCTAGTTTGCTGAGTTTTTTTTAATGAATGGGTATTGGATGTTTGTTTGTTAAATAAACTTAATTTTGGAATCATTTCAGATTTACAGAAAAGTTGCAAAGATAGTACATAGAATTTCTGTATATTTTTCTAGTTTTCATGTTAACATTTTGCATGACTGTGGTACTTTTATAAAAATAAGAGTATATTACTATAGGTTGAGTATCCGTTGTCTGAAATGCCTAGGATGCCACCTTGCAGTTAGGAATCACAATAAAAGGAAAAAAGTAAACTACGAAAACATTACGGATCACATAGTCTAGTAGCTTCATAGTTGATTCATAAATTCTGGAAGATCTCAGGCCCACCACCCACTGACAGCCTTGTAGGATAGCAGGGACTGTACCTGTGGGGCAGGCACTAAGTCCTGGTCTTCTGGACTTTAAGGGTGGCTTCTTTCTGCCATTCCATGTTCCTTCTACTGCCAAGATTTCCTTTTCCATTATTTTAAATGTTGCTTTCAGGTCAGATCTTTTTTTTAGCAGTGTTAGTTTGCTGACATTTCTGTCCCACAGTTTACCATTAGGCAATCTGTGAACTGATTGATGGAGTCCATCTATAGGCAGGGTCCATCAGCTGTGAGATTATCTGAAGATGGAGACGTTGGCAAAAATACTTAGTGCTGCAGGGGACCTCAATGAGATGGCTTTGTTGGTAGTTGAATAAAAGTGCTTTGAATGAGGAGATTTATTATCCACTTGGTCTTAGATATATTGTCTCTGAATATAACTGTTATATGAATAAATATTATGAATGAAAGTTGATGCTTCTAATATTTTTTTTCTGTTTTTCTAGCATTGGATTAAATTGTGCTTTGGGTGCAGCTGAAATGAGACCTTTTATTGAAATAATTGGAAAATGTACAACAGCCTATGTCCTCTGTTATCCCAATGCAGGTATGTGTTTCGAGGGGGTCACACATGGGGAGATAAAAATAGCATAAGACATGAGGTAGATGAGGTAAGAGATCTTGAGTGAAAAAGCTTGTTTTGTAGGTGTTGGTATAGTTGACACTTAACAGGAATGTTCTAAGTGAAGAGTATTTGGGTGCAGACCAGTGTTTCCCTGTAGACCTGAGGGAAGTTCGCTCAGCCTGAAGCTTCAGAATAGGACTTAACTTCTGGGAATGAGCCTAGTCACATAACTGACCAGAGCCTTGCCTTTGGTGACAGCATAAGCCTTGTGGAAGTGACCAGAAAGATGGGTATAAAGAAGAGAAGAGTGACCCTTCTTCTCTGGTCCACTCTATTAGTAGAAGAGCAGGAGAATCATCTTGTGTGGTGTTACCTTTTTCTTCTCTGAAAGCTCGGACGTACAGTTTATTATATGTAAATGTTTTGAAGATATTTGTAGGCAGTTCTCAAACTGTCCCATTAAATACTGGCAATTTGTTCTGGGTTAACCAGATTTCCCTGTGAATGTATTTGAGTGTTGCTTAGCTATTTGGAGCTAAAAGTCATTTTCCAGCCTTCTTTCTCAAAATACATCATTTTAATGCACAATAAATTTTATTTCCCACCAGGAGTAAGATAACTGGAAGCAGATAATAAATAAAACAAGAAATTGGATGGTTATAAGCTAAAGTCTTAGTTGGGAACATTTATTTGAAAGGAGACTGGTTGATTTTTGTTTGTTTTTAATGGCATGTTAGTTGCTTATTAGTTGAGAGGTTATGAAGCATTCCTTCCACTCCCACCCCTAAGCGACTAGTAACAAGAATGAATTTCCCTTATGAGAAGGAGTGGGGCTTGGGGCATTCTGTTTTGCTTAACAGTGAATAGAATCTTTTCTTTCAAATGGAAAAGAAATAATGAAGTTCATTTTCCTCTGTGATTTTTAAAAAGTTTTTGGGGGGTGTCTCTGTGTTGACTGTATAAATATTATGTGTTTGTTTTTGCAAGTAATCACCATTTAATATAAATGTAAAATTATTTGGTTATCAACCTAAAGTCTTTACAAATCCAGTGTATATTTGTTAAGGCAATTTGCAATAATGGTTGAATTTTCCTTTCTCAGGTCTTCCCAACACCTTTGGTGACTATGATGAAACACCCTCTATGATGGCCAAACACCTAAAGGTCAGGGATCCTCTTTCACTTGGCTTTTTAAGAGAGACAGAGAGACTGAATTTTAGATTTAGAGTTTTTAGAAGGAGAATTCTCCCCTGAAGAAATCCCAATGTACATAAAAGAAAGAAAGGTTTACCCCAAATTAAGGTAGTAGAGGCACAGGGAAGGGCTGTCAGCATCCTTATTCTCAACTGGCACTGGTGGCTGCTGGAAAATTCCCACTGAGGTTCACTCTAAACTAATTGAGACTTGGCTCTTCTCTGAGACATTGCTTCCCCTGCAACCTTCCCAAATTGTGACGTTCTGCTCTCACACCCCTCAGACTGCTGGGTGGAGTACGTGCCCCCCCCCATTGTCACCTCCGTCACTCTACCTGTTTGTCATGCACCTGCCATTGTTTACTCCTTGGTCATGAGACCATATTGTCCACTGCCACTTCTTATTGCACTTACCTACTAATCCCTGGGTTTCTTTACCCTTGTTCCTTGAATTTTAACTTCTGTTTCACTGACATTGTCTCCTAAACTATATCTGACTTATGATTTTATTATCTTTGTAGACGATCTTTCCAATACGCTTGCTCTGCTCCTTTGACATTGTCTGTTAGTTACGGTGTCCTTTATTTAGTAGCCTATCGTTAAACTCTAGACTCATGCTGTCCCCTATGTAGCCACTCCTATATGGTTTTTGGAGCCTTTGAATTGTGGCCAGTGTGATAGAGGAACTGAATTGTTATTTAACCATTTTTAAATTAATGTAAATTTAAAAACCAATACTCTATTTTATGTTATTTGAAAATGCTTTATCCAGCTCACATTCATTCAGCTCAGCATATGGGTTAAAAAAATCATTAGATAGGCAAATCTCCCACTGAATTTTATCTTTTGTTTCTATGTGTTTGAGACAGGGTCTTGCTTTGTTGCTCAGGCTGAAGTTCAGTGGCATGATCATAGCTCAGTCTATCTTCAAACTCCTGGGCTCAAGCAGTCCTCCCACCTAACCTCCTGAGTACCTGATACTATAGAAACATGCCACTATGCCCAGCTAATTTAAACATTTTTTGTAGAGATGGGGTCTTGCTATGTTTCCCAGGCTGGTCTCAAACTCCTGGCCTCAAGTGATTCTCCTGGCTTGGCCTCCCAAAGTGCTGAGATTACAGGTTTGAGCCTCCATACCCATCCTCTCACTGCATTTTAAATAGTATAAAGGATTTCACAGCATTTGAACTATTCTTTGCTTTTATCCTATGTCTAGGGTATGTGACATCTTTATATCTAGAGTTAAGTGTGTTTAACTTTGTTTTTAGTGTAGTCTTAGTTATTCAGGAAGAATAGATGCCTTTTATATTGAATTGGTGGTAATGAGTTTAGACTTCAGATGAACTTGCTCAAACTTTGTCTTTTCCTAAATGCAGGATTTTGCTATGGATGGCTTGGTCAATATAGTTGGAGGATGCTGTGGTTCAACACCAGATCATATCAGGTAATAATCACCTATAGACAATATATCTAAAAGCAAATGGATGATCAGGCAATAACCTAAAGATGTACCTTTTGTTATGGACTGAATTGTGTCCTTCCAAAGTTTGTATATTGAACTTTTAACCCCTACTATTTCAGAATGTGTCTGTATTTGGAGATAAGGCCTTTAAAGAGGCGACTAGGATAAAATGAGGCCATACAGGTATTCCTAATCCAATATGATTGGTGCCCTTTTAAGAACAGGACACAAATGTGCACACAGAGGCAAGGCCGTTTAAAGACAAAGGGAAGAAATAGCTATCTACAAGCCAAGGGAGAGGGCTTAAAAGAAACTAACTAACCCTGCTGACACCTTCAACTCAGATTGTGAGAAAATAAACTTCTGTTATTTAAGCTGCCATAACACAGTCTTGGGCACTTTGTTATGGCAGCCCTTCCTAGTAAGTTCATACACCTTTATATTATGAAAAATTTTAGAGAAATAATAAAATGGACCTCTGTATGCCTATCACATAGTTGCCATACTTTTCAGTGTTTTTCAATTCTTATTTCATCTGTCCCTCAACTTTTCCCGCTGGATTTTGTAAAGCAAATCTTAGATATTATGATATTCTATCCTTAAATACCTGAGTAATATTTGAATGCTCTAAGAGGACAGCTCATATTTATTGTGGGCAAATACAGGCCTCCTTTAGATTCCCTCATGGAAGGAAAAGACAATAAGACAACAGGTATCTTGAGGTCAGGAGAGGTGTCTTCACTTTGCGTGGTACACAGTGGTTGCTTAATTCGTGTTTTCAAGTGAGCATATGAAGGAAGGGAGTGAAACGAGCATGACCATGTGTTTAATTCTTTAGAGTTTTATAGCTTATAGGAAGATTGGAATTCAATGAAATGGAACATTGTTTAGGACTGTTGATATTTGTTTTTTCCCCTGGAGTGACTGATGATCATGTTTCAGGTCCGTCATCTCACTGTTCCAAGTTTTTTTTTTGGAGTCTGAGTCTGTTGCCAGGCCAGAGTGCTGGAGTGCAGTGGTGGGATCTCGGCTCACTGCAACCTCCACCTCCCAGGTTCAAGCGATTCTCCTGCCTCAGCCTCCCGAGTAGCTGGGACTTCAGGGGTGCACCACCACGTGCAGCTAATTTTTGTATTTTTAATAGAGACAGGGTTTCACCATGTTGGCCAGGATTGTCTCAATCTCTTGCCCTCGTGATTAGCCTGCCTCGGCCTCCCAAAGTGCTGGGATTACAGGCGTGAGCCACCACGCCTGGCCTCCAAGTTTGTTTTCTTGTGTATAATGTGTTCACTCTACTGAGTTACCTTATAACTCACTGCTTTTGTTGACTGATGTGATAGACTCTTAATTGTTTTTAAAATATCTTGTAAATAATATCTGAAAGCTATCAGTAGTTAAATGTCACTTATCTTTGGATCAGCAACTATCTCTTTTTGTTTTCTCTTTAAAAAGGGGAGTTGTTTTAAATGTCTATGTGTATATTTGTGTGTATCTATATATCTGTCTGTATATATATTTGCTTCTTTTACTTAGATGTTCACATTCTAATTTGGGGACAGTAGAGTAGAGCAATTCTTACTGGTCCTGATAAATTTAGTGGAGTAGCCAGATTTTTCTGGTTGATCAAAGACATGATTCATTAAAACTGATAAGGTTAAAGAGAGTGTGAATGACTAAAACAAATCTTTAAGAGTAATTATTTTGGAGTTTCAGTGCTTTATGGCTATGAACCTACCCCCACACCCTGCCCCGCAACTGTGTGTATGCTCTAGTGAAAACAGATCCGCTAGACCCAATTCCCTCCTCTCCTAGCCCCTCTGCTCCTGCCTGCTCCTTCTTGTCGAAGGTGAAGCCCTTTTTCTCTTCAAATTTTGAGTAGGAATGTGTGTTTGTGGATTTGACAGAGTAAAAGACATCTGTGGATTTGGGGAAGATGGGAAGAATTTTGCTGTTTGCATTCGTGAAACTGTCATGTAGCTCCAGGTTCATGTCTCAGAAAGTAAAAACAACCCAGCCAGCATAGCGGACAGGCAGGCACATAAAAGTTACAGTTTATATGCACCTCCATACTAGATTGTAAGAAAAAAAAAGTTACAGTTTATAGATTAATTTTCTACATTGCTGAGAAAACTAAAAGACATAATTGTTGCCGCACATTTGGAAGTAGGTATGTAATTATATGCATAATTATGTTAAATATACATAGTTTCATCGTCCCAATTAGTTTTGAAATTAGCTTCATTAAATATATTTTATTCTGGATTAATGGATATAGTGTTTTCTTTTTCAACTCAGGGAAATTGCTGAAGCTGTGAAAAATTGCAAACCTAGAGTTCCACCTGACACTGTTTTTGAAGGACATATGTTACTGTCTGGTAAGTCATAAAGACATGGTGTTCATGATTTCAGAAACCATTTGTAGAATGTGATTATTCTAAGTGGTAGTGATATTTGTGCTAGGCAGCTTGCTTACTGTATCAGAGAAGAGTACATACATTCTTGGCAGTTAAATGAATTCTAGTGAAGAACTCGTTGGTTTTCCAGGGCTGGGGCACAATGACGTCAACTTTAGGGTAAAAATGAAGGAAGGCCCAGGTGATTTGCCCAGGTAGAGTCCTTGGTGGGAGTTCAGTGGTCCTGTCTTTATTGTGTACTGTTTTGAAACCATATTCTCGGCCACAGCCTAACAATTTTAATTTTCAGGTTGATACTAGTTATTGAAAATTCCAAACTGCCCAGGTATAATGTTTGGTAATGGCAGCAGCATCTTCCTAGAAAATTGTATGTTTCTAAAATATTGTTGTTGTAATCTTACATTTGCCACATGTTTAGGAATTTACAAAGACTTGTGGTATTTCTTTTCTCCTTGGTTCTCAGCAATCCTTTAAGGTAGTTAGCCTCCCTTTTTCAACATGAATTTTGTGTTCAAACAAGGAATATTAGTAAACTAGGTCATCAGGCCAGTTGTTAGAAAAATAACTTTAAATTTTTTATTTTTGCTACATTACCTTCGTGGTGTATTAAATGGTAACTTTAAGCAGAAAAGGTATGATTTTTAGAGAACTTGCAAATAACACATATGAGGAATTACGGGTTTTAATAGCTTAAAATTTAACATCTCTCTGAATTGAAATATGTTTGTTTCATACATTGTCCTATGAAAAGTAAAATAAATAACAGCAAAAGTAGTGTCTACTTTTCTCACTCAGGACGTACAATAGAATTAACCCCAATCGGTGAGTGTGAAGTTGGGTTAATAAAGATAACAACTGTGTTCAGGCTAGCTTTTTTTTTTTCTTTCTTTTTTTTTTTTTTTTTTAATACTCCAGAAGGTAGAGGATGAGATTGGGAAAAGTAGGATTCATGGTTTACGATACCCCCCTACTCCGGAAAAAGTGGCTTTTGTCAGAGAGAGGTGTGGCAGGAAAATTTATTTATTTCACCCCTAGAACTTAATGTTAGTGCATTACTCCAACCAAGCACTAACAGTGGAAAACATTAAGGCTTTGCCAAAATTGAAACAAGGGAGCCATTTATATAAGTTTTTAAAAAATAATTTATAAGAATAAAAGAATTCTTTTTTTCCCAATTTGAATGTCATACACTATTGCTAAATTGCTTTAAACAGTCAACTTCCATCAGATTTTAAAAGAGTGACATCAAATGCACTGTTTAAAATTGTTCTTTTATAAATCACAAACTTGAGAGAATTGTGATCTTTGTATCAAGTACTTTGCATTCATAATAGATCATAAGCACCTTGTGTGAGATGCTTTTGGTAGGGGACACGAAAACGTCAGCATTGAAATGCTGGCTTCCCGCTTGCCCGTCCTGGGAACCCCAGGATCAGACGAGGATCAGGCATACCCTGAGACTAGCCTGGAAGGCTGGGGGCATGAGGATCTTTGCCAAATGGAAGGAAAATCATAAGCCAATACTGTGGAAAGTGATAGTCTCTTTTGGGGAATCAAACGGCCTGGAGTGGTTTTATAATGACCCAGTTTATATTCATTATTTTTCTCTGCCTTGTATCTGTTTCTTCCTTAGTCAGTGCTTTGGCAAAGGTCTTAAGAGCCATTTTCTTTGATTAACAATGACAGCAATGATTGTAGGTGCTAAGTTTGTGCTTATCGATATTACTCAGTTTCATTTTTACAATAACAAACAGTATAAAGCAGAAACTTTACTGTCTTTATAAGCTCAGAGGCATATGGGAAGTTGTCCCAAGGTTGTTCATTTAGGTAAGTGATTTGAACCCAAGGCTGTCTGTCCCCAGAATCTGCCTATAACCATTTCATGAGACTGCCTCTCCTCATACTTTAAATGTAATGAATAGAACAAAAACAGTTCAGAGCCTTTTCTGCAGTGATACTTCACACTGTATGTCTTTACCTCAGTGTAATATCCACATGTATTACCTGATATTTGCCCCTAAATTGGCCAGTGACGGGGGAGATGATATTAACAGGCACCAGAAGTCCACTCGGCTTCCCTAGAGTCAGCTCATTAGTGATAGACCTGCCACAGTGACTCCTGTCTCTCAGGTCTCAACCTGGGGCCCTGATTCAGCGTTGTTGTTTATGGGTTCTAAGCCTCTGGATCAAAGAAATGAAGTAACACTGTAAACATACTGTGGGTGGGATTTAAGAAGCTTACTCCCTCTAGCATCACACTGATATCTGAGCAGACAGCTGTGGAACACCCATCTTTCAATTCTAACTTTCTCCATGGCTTTTGCGCAACCTCTTGGTTAAATAGGGGTTGATCATTATTTTTCCTTCTTTCGTAAATATAGTACGACTTGGCCCTTTAGGGTATTTGCAACATAAAACTCTGAAATATTTTTTCTTTTGAGAGCTCTGGTTGTAAATGTAGCTGTAACAAATAGCCTTTGCTGCATTAGAATCTCCCTAGAGATGACTGTGGTCCTGTTTCCATGCTGGATCTCCTATCTGCTCAGATGGGCTGTGATGCAGGAAATTCTTTCTTATTGAATTCGTTTATGTCTGTCTGTCTTATGTCATCCATATGCCTTTGCAGAAATTTTTCAAAATGCTTCTCCTTTTAAGGTCTAGAACCCTTCAGGATTGGACAGTACACCAACTTTGTTAACATCGGAGAGCGCTGTAATGTTGCAGGATCAAGGAAGTTTGCTAAACTCATCATGGCAGGAAACTATGAAGTGAGCATCTTAATAAGACCCCTGAGACATCTGCCATGACTTTGGCTAGACAGCATGTAAAATGAAACAGCTCTCTGCCTTTGATAGTGTTATTAGCAGAGCTGCTAGGAAGTGTGAGAAGATGGTAATGTGTGTTTGTAGCAGGCTGGGCTGGTGGGAGGACAAGGCTTTGAAAAACTGAAAATGCTATTGTCAATATTTGTCAAAAAGTGGTGCATTTGGTGTATGAAGTAGGATGAGATGGGAGGGATCCAGGTTGTAGCTATTTCTATTATTCATGAAATAAGTTAAAAAATTTGAGAAGGCCCTTTGTTTTGTCTTCTCATAAATCCTTCTAGGGAAAGGGAAAGACAGGAAAATTCCTATCAGTTTCTTACGACCGCATCAAATGCCAACTGTTGAGGGTATTATTGATCTTGTTAGCTGTAGACTAAAATAAACAAAGGAAAGAAATAGGCACTTGCCTTGGAAAGTTTACGTGATAGTTTTAGCCATGGTGTTTTTAAGCTCAGTCACTCTGTGGATGAGCAAAATTTAATCCATGCAGAGCATACCCAAGACTCCTGGATAGATTTTCTTATGAAAATATGAATGTAAAAATGGAGGAATTTGGTCTGGCTTTAATGATAATTAACTTTGTCATCCAACTTTTCTCACTCTAAGGTTTTGCAGCCTGTAGGACATCATCCAGAAACCAGTACCAGAGCTGATTTAGTTTTCTTAACAAGGAAAGAACCCATTTATCCCCCTTCATGGATCTGCTCGTCATTACCCGATGGCATCCCCGGAAGTGTGTCTTCCTTCTCTGTCCCTCAGCTGGCACATCGCCAGGGCCTGGTTGCCTGGTTCCACCACTCCCCATGGCAGTCCTCTTTCCCTCATTCTTGCTGCTCTCCAGTGCTCTTGTATGCATCCATCATGGGCCTCCCCAGTTCAGAAGTTCCGCAGGGTGACTTTTTTTTGGATATGGGATAAAACTGAGATTCCTTAGTCAATCATTCTGTCGTCTTCACTTAGGTATTAAACTGCCCTCCCATCCTGATCTGTCATCTGAACATTCCAAGAGGCTCGCTTCTGACTGTGCCTTTGTTCATGTTTGCTTCCTTCTGAATTGCCAGTGACTCTTCCTAGCCATGTAGTGTTCTTCAGTTGCCCATGTTTCTATTATGTTTTGATTCTTAGGCCTATTCTATGGTGTTCCTTTCAGCTCTTGGATTCAACAGAGCATTTTAGGAAGAAGCAAATAGGTGGAAGTAATAATATCTGTCGCTTAATAGGATCTTTCTGTGTGCCAGTCACTGTACTAAGCACTTTATGTCATGACTTATTTAATCATTACAGCCTGGTAGAGATAAGTACCGTTGTTATCCCCATTTTACAGATGTAGAAATGGATGCTTGGGGAAGTTAAATGACTTGCCTGTTGTTTTACAGCAAGTAAATGATAGAACCCAGGTCCACCAAGCATGTGCCCTTAATCACTCTGCTATCTCTGCCTAGTGGAAACAGTAGGAGGGGGCAGTGGAAACAGGTGGGAACAGGTGACTCTTCATTAGAGTCTGGCTTTTATGACTTAGTGATCCCTTTGGGGTTTAGTAAAAAGAGCATTGACCTGAAAGAAGTTCCAGTCCTGTTTTCTTGCCTAACTCATATGTCTTTTAAACAAACCACTTCATCTCTCTGAGTTTGTTTGTGAAGGTTAGACCTTGATGCTGTTATTCCATGATTCTTAAGAAATAGATCAGATATTGGCATTTTCATTTTCCAGGTCTTTTGACCTCTGTTGCCTACTATCTTATCTGCTATCTGTTTTTTCCAATCTATCCCTCATTAGCCAGCTGAAGATGTTTCCCTCTCAGTTAGCTTTCTCCATTTTGGTTCGTAGAGAGCTTTCCCTTTCCTAGATGTTGAGATCATCTTGGCATTTGACCCACACATTGTATGGCAGTGCCTGGTAGTTTTTTATGGGACTGTGACGTGTGCCCCCAACTAGATATAAATTCTTTAAGAACCAGGATTGTGATTTGCACTTATTTTTATTCTTTATATTAAGTAGTACTGATACTAGAAAACATTTTTTGATTTACCGAATTTATTTATTTATTTAGAGACAGAGTCTCACTCTCTCACCCAGGCTGGAGTGCAGTGGCACGATCTTGGCTCCTGCAACCTCCACCTCCAGGTTCAAGTGATTCTTCTGCCCCAGCCCCCAGAGGAGCTGGGACTACAGGCACATGTCCCTGCGCCTGACTAATTTTTGTATTTTTAGTAGAGACAGGGTTTTGCTATATTGGCCAGGCTGGTCTCGAACTCCTGACATCAAGTGATCTGCCTGTCTCGGCCTCCCAAAGTGCTGGGATTATAGGCATGAGCCACTGTGTCTGGCCCAGATTTACTGAATTTAATTGTGATCCTTTTTCTCTGTGCAGCCTTGGCTCAGTACATATGGTGTTTCCTTATAACATACGCCATAGGATTTCATGGCAGTTCTATCACAATGAGTGCTAAAAGTTTCTATTTTATTTTCTTGGGCTAAAAAAAAAAAAAAAGATCAAGACATCAGCATCTACTATTGATTTTATCCTTGCTTATTTTATTGCACTATGAAGTGTACAGTGAAGACTTAAACAAACAAAAAGTCTTGCCATGTTAGTTAGAAAGTATTATGGAACATGTGTATTTTGCCCAGCATTCAGAGTGGGAGGTACATAAGACTTTTTGGAACACTTATCCTACAAAGTATTCCTTAGATGGTCATAAGTGGGAAATGCTGAATTCTGTTTCAGGAAGGTTGCAGTGTGTAATAGCGCATTAAAGAATTTGAAAAGCTTTCCAGTGTTATAAAAACCTGCTGAAATTTATTTAACTCACATTTCTTTTCATGTAACTCCTATTAACAGCCTGGAATGAATCATTTTGGCAGATACCGAAGCATTGTATAGTTTTTGGCAAATACTGAAGAGCTACATCGTTTGGATGGCTTCTCTAAGGACTTTTTTTGGAGGAGATGGGGCTGGGTCATAAACAATGTGGAAGGGAAAGGGATTGTGTTCCAAGCAGAGGGGACAACATGATGTGCAGCACAGAGGTGGGAACAGACTTGGCTGGGTGAAGACTCCAGTGGGGGTAGAGTGGGAAGTTTGATTCGGTAAGACGATGGGGCCTTGACTGCCAGGCTGAGGAACTTAGAATCTTTATGGTAGGAAAACAGCCTTGGTGGATTCTGAGCAGTGAGATGATGTGATGGAAGAGAGACGTGTAAGAAAGGTTAATTTGTGATGAGTGATGGGAGGACAGCAGGCCCAGAGTCAGGGAGCCTGGCTAGGTGAGTCTGTATAATTTGAAAGGATTACTGGGACGGGTAAGGAATTGGCTTATTAGCCTTTTTTCAAATTATTGTTTCCTAATGATGCTTCCTCTCTTTCTTCCTTCAGGAAGCCTTGTGTGTTGCCAAAGTGCAGGTGGAAATGGGAGCCCAGGTGCTGGATATCAACATGGATGATGGCATGCTAGATGGTCCAAGTGCAATGACCCGATTTTGCAACTTAATTGCTTCCGAGCCAGACATTGCAAAGGTTATTACAAAGTTTATATTTGTCAGGGAAATTTACTTGTCTTACTTTGTCACTCATTTAACTTTGCTAGTTGTCTCATCTATCTGTGAACTCAAGAACTGGTTTTCTGTGTCTTGACATTGAAAGCACAATGGTTTCTGATTGTCAGCTTGCTCAGATAATGATAACCTTTCTCTATAAAGCAGATCTTGGAGATAGCCGGGACTTCAGCGTGACTGTTTCCAGGCCTTCTGGGATTGTTCATGAGAACTGAGTCTCCTCAGATGTCTGGACAGACTAACAATCCACTTTCCGTATCTGTGAAGGATATACTTACCCATTTCTGCCAAATTCCTACCATAGGCAAGGGAACTCAGTGAATTCTTTCTTACAACAGGAAGGAGAAAACTTTTGGGTTTATCAGATCAAGACAAAAATATAAAACAAGATTAAATCAAGATATGATGTCAGCTTTTACATTTGTTCTTTAAAAGGTGAAAGTTGATTTTTATGTCAGTCTTTTTTTTTTTTTTGGGGACGGAGTTTCGCTCTCGTTACCCAGGCTGGAGTGCAATGGCGCGATCTCGGCTCACCGCAACCTCCGCCTCCTGGGTTCAGGCAATTCTCCTGCCTCAGCCTCCTGAGTAGCTGGGATTACAGGCATGCACCACCATGCCCAGCTAATGTTTTGTATTTTTAGTAGAGACGGGGTTTCACCATGTTGACCAGGATGGTCTCGATCTCTTGACCTCGTGATCTGCCTGCCTCGGCCTCCCAAAGTGCTGGGATTACAGGCTTGAGCCACCGCGCCCGGCTATGTCAGTCTTTTAAACATTTTTAAATGGGTGCTAAAATTTTTAAAAATCTTACGTTGTTTTTCTGCCATTAAGTTTATCATGAGGAGTGATCCCCTCTGCCCCCTAGACAGGGTTTTGCTCTGTGGCCCAGGTTGGAGTGCAGTGATGAAATCATAGCTCGTTGCAGCCTCAGACTCCTCCCTCTTTAGTCTCCTGAGTAGCTGGGGCCACAGGCACGCATCATTTAAAAAATTTTTTTAGTAGAAAGGGCGGGTCTTGCTGTGTTGCCCAGGCTGGTCTTGAACTCCTAGGCCCAAGCAATCCTCCTACCTTAGCCTCCCAAAGTGCTACGATTACAGTTGTGAGCCACTGTGCCTGGCAAGAAGTGATTTTTGAAGTTCTTTTTTAAAGAAACCTCCTAGTTCTTTAAGAGTTGCGTTTTTCAGGTTGAGCTGTTGGTTTTTTATTAGGCTTCAGCAGGTTTAAGTTAGAAGTCTGTGTTAGGTACTGAGTTACGTTTACCCATCTTTCATTTGTGTCTTAAAACTTTTTACTAAAAAGTCTCATCATTCTTCCAGGAATAAATATTTTGAGAATTTAAGGTACAAAGAAGCAAAATAACTTGTTCAAAGTTAGTCAGAATCAGAGGTATAGCCAGTTGTTTATCAGCTTAGTAGTGGGAAGAGGGGCAGACTTGCCTTGTAAGTCCCAATTAAGTCAACGGACAATTGACCCTACTTTCTTTCCTCATCTCTAAAACGGGATCATCAAGCCTCCTTTGTGAGTTGTAAAGAGGCAAGTACTTTATCAACTGTGAAGGACCCCAATTATTAGTGTTCTGATTGCTACAATAATTTATCTTTTTTGGTTTTGCCTTACTACCACAATTTATTGAAGGCCAAATTTTGACCCATGGGGTAAATCATAAAATTATTTTACCAACACCTTCACCAGTAGGGTTGGAACACCAAACTATCAGCAAGCAAATGCAAGCCGATACACTGGCCTGGTATTGTCATTGCATTTAACCCTTTTCCTGGTAAACCTCTCATTACTAACAAGCTAAGAAAAAGCAAAATGGATAGAGTGCCTGTTCCTTTTTGCTCTTGTTTGGTGGTGTGGCTTAGGAAATTGCTGACTATTCATTCTTCAGTCCTCAGTTGAAATGTTTCCTGCCCTAGGAAGCTTTCCCTGAATTTTCCCACCCCATTCTCCTTGCTTCATAGACTGGGTTTGGTGACCCTGAAATATACTCCCATGGCAGTCTGTGCTTCTCTTATGCTTTTAGCATTTACCGCACTTTATGTCATTACTTGTTTAATTATTTGTTTTTATGAGCTCAGTGGAGCTAGGGACCTGTCTTTCTTACCATTTTCCCTGTATGGGCCTAATATGGTAGTCACTTATTTATTGAATGGCTTAATTAAATAATGTGGCCTATGCTGGGAGCTGTGGCATGTGCCTGTAGTTTCAGCTACCCAGGAGGTTGAGTAGGGAGGATCACTGGAACTCAGGAGTTGAAGACCAGCCAGGGCAACATAAGAAGACCCTGTCTCTAAAAATATAAAAATAATGCAACCTAGATTAGTTGCCTTACTTCATTTCTTTGTATCAATCTCATTCTTCAAACCCTTCCTTTCACCTTTCCTGGAACAGAGGTATGAATTAAAAGGAACATATTCTCAACTGTGCATTTCAGTTTTGTCCTGTATTTTAGTCATATGCATTTGTTGATTATTGGATCTACTTTTCCTTTCTAATATTAAAATTCTTTTTTTTCAGTAAAGAACTTGATTTTCTAAAGGGACGGTTGAATTTGAATAACTTGGCTAGAGGTCTACTCCCAAAGGACATGAGGCTAAACATTAATCCCTGAGTCAGATCAGGGATATCTAAATCCTATTTGAGGTGTTTGCCTCAGGGCTTATGCACTTGAAAGCGTGCTGTACTGAAGCCAGTGAACTGATCACGCTGATTTTATTCTGATGTTCAACTGTGATCTTTAAGTTATAAATCCCTGGCTGATGCATGGTGTATCTCGTAAGACTGAAATAACTCCAAGTATTTTGGGCTTAAAGAACAAGCATATTAAAATTCTATCTCTGCATACTACTATTATTTGTTTATTTTTCTAAAGAAGAAATAGACAATACTTTGGAGCCTTTGAAAAGTACTTTATAGTGACTTGTGGCGTCTCTGTGATTTTCTTGCCCTTTGAGCTCAGGTACCCTTGTGCATTGACTCTTCCAATTTTGCTGTGATTGAAGCTGGGTTAAAGTGCTGCCAAGGGAAGTGCATTGTCAACAGTATTAGTCTGAAGGAAGGAGAGGAGGACTTCTTGGAAAAGGCCAGGAAGATTAAAAAGTTTGGAGCTGCCGTAGTGGTCATGGCTTTTGATGAAGAAGGACAGGTGAGTGATTTCTTTTGGCCTAATCCATTGTGTTACCCAGGTTAGATAGCAGTGGGAGAAAATGCGAGTCTGAAACAGCTACATATATACATACATATATATCTATTTCTGTGTACATTCATGTACATATGCGTACATGTATCTGTATGCACTCATACATCATGTGTTACTTAACAGTGGAGATACGGTCTAAGAAATACATCATTAGGTGATTTTGTCATTGTGCCAACATCACAGAGTGTATTTACACCAACCTAGGTGGGATAACCTACTACACACGTAGGCTGGATGGCGTAGTGTATTGTTTCTGTGTTATAAACTGGTATAGCGTGTTACTATACTCAGTACTGTAGGCAGCTGTAACACAGTGATACGTATTTGTGTATCTAAACATATGGAAACAGAAAATTTACAGTAAAAATATGGTATTATAACCTTACCGAACCATTGCTGTGTATGTGATCCATCACTGCCTTAAGTGTCCTTATGTGGTCAATGACTGTGTATGAAAATCTGATGTATAGTAAAGTCTTTGAGTTCATGGAGAAAGGTTGAATTATTCAGTAAATGCTATTGGGATGACTGGGTATGCATTTGGAAAAAATAAAAATTAGATTCCCATTTCCAACCATGTACTAAAATATAGTTAGCTGTTTGCAACATGAATAATAGCAGTAGGTGACTATCCCTAATATGCAAAGAGTTTATATGAGTCAGAAAGCAAAACACCTCAGTCAACCCAGTGGGAAAATGGACAAAGGAAATGAATAAACAGTTTATATAAAAAGAGATAACAAATAGCCAATACACTTATGAGAAGATATTAAGTTTTGTAAGCATTAAAGAAATAAAAAATAAATGAGATTAGTTTTATCAAATAGAAGAAAAAATCAGAAGATTGATAAATGGCAGCCTTCATAATATCTCTGCCATAGAATCAGGGTGAGGCACATGGGAAACTTCAAATACAATGGTAGTTCAACTGTGTGATACATTCATTATTGTTATCTTTTATACTTCACATAGCTTTTTATGAATATTTTGGTACCTATTTAAAACAACAAAAAAATCTATTTCTTATGCTTAAGCCCCTCCTGGGAATCTAGTAATAAGATTGAGTATATAAGGATATGTGTTCACATTAATTGTAGCATTGTGCTAGCACAAAGCTGAGAACACACTATTTTTTTTTTTTTTTTTTTTTTTTTTTTGAGACAGAGTTTTGCGCTTGTTGTCCAGGCTGGAGTGCAGTGGTGTGATCTTGGCTCACTGCAACTTCTGCCTCCTGGGTTCAGATGATTCTCCTGCCTCAGCCTCCTGAGTAGTTGGGACTACAGACGTGCGCCACCACACCTGGCTAATTTTTTGTCTTTTTAGTAGAGACTGGGTTTCACCACGTTGGTTAGGCTGGTCTCAAACTCCTGACCTCAGATGATCCACCTGCCTTGGCCTCCCAAAGTGCTGGGATTACAGGCATGAGCCATCACGCCTGGCCTTGAGAACACTCTAAATGTCCAATCCTAAGGGAGTGCTTAAACCTTGGTCCTTACTGCATAGAATACTGTGCAGAAGTTGAAAAGAATCAGGAGATAGAACCATGTCTTCAATATATTGAAAAATGAAAAAAATGAGTGACATGATCCCAATTTTACTTAACATAAAAGTACTTACATTTATATATGTGTGTCTGTATAAGCAGAGAAAAGAATGGTTGTCAACTGAGGGGGTAGGGATGGTCTCAAATAGGGACATACTGACAATTAACAAGTAGTAGGATTATACGTACTTTTTCTTCCCTTTCTTTCTTTTCTATTTTTGAAATAAAATTTTTTAAATGTATTATTTTTTGTGTGAAAGATACATTTTCTTTCATTGTGAAAAAATTCAAATAATCCAGAATGCAAAAGAGAGATAATTTTGATCATTAACATATATTGAACCTTAATTCACACCAAGCAAGTACACAACACACTTAAATCAGTTCTTCCTCCCAGTGTATAAACTGTGGGCATGTGTTCTTGTTATTTTTGGATGTCATGTGAGGACACTGAAGCACAGAGATGTTCCAGGACTTGCGGTTGCCACACAGCTAACAGTTTGCAGTGCTGGGAGTCAGGCCTAGGAGATCTGGTTTCTGTCATCAGGTCCTGTTTTAAATGGTCGAGCGAAAGGCTGTCAGGGAAAAGTTGGCCTGTTTAGAAGAGGTGGTCTCATAAGACCCCTCTGAGGAGGGAATATTTGAAAACCAGAGTAAAATGAGAGAGCAAGCCACATGGCCACATGGAGAAAGAACAAAAAAGCTTTTAACAAATGGAAAGTTTTGTATCAACAAGATTATACCTGCCATTCTGCAACTCATTTCCCCCACTCAACGTAATGTTGGCATTTTCCCATTTTAGTGAATAGGGATTAAAACTCCATCTTTTATGGTTACATTGCATCTCAGTATGTTTTAATTACTATTTATTATTGAATGAAATTGTGTTTCTAATTTTTTAGTAGTATGAACAGTTCAGTGACCAATTCATGCAGCTATTTCCCCTTGTAGAATGATTTTTCTTAGAGTCAATTCATTGAAGTGGGATTGCTGTGTCAAAGAGTGTGCACATTTACTGTTTTGAGGCACATTGTTAAAACTATGCATCTGAAAAGTTGTATCTAGTTATCTTCCACTACATGTTTAGTGTGGTGGAACCTTTTGGTAATTCTGCAGATAGACAAATAGTTCTGTAAGGCTTCTTGTGAAAAACAAAAGTCCTCAGCCTTCTAGATCCTGAGGCAGCCACTTTCAGCTTTCTAAACTGATTCTTGTAGCATCTACCTCTTCATCTTGAAATTCCAGTTTTAGTTTTTATTTATTGACATCCTACAGTGATAAAAGATTTTTTAGCTTTTCACCATCCACTGCCCTGACTGTACAGCTTTACTCTTAACCTTCCCGATACAGTTCATTTGAGCTATAATTGTTTTCAGTGGTTACGTTATTAAACAGTGTAAAAGCTGAGACACGCAATAGTATACTATGATTGCTTAGCCTTTCTCACTATTTGTTTTCTACAAAGGTAACACTTATCTTTTTGTTTGCTTCGTTTTCTATGTATTTTGCCTTTAGATTGTCCCCTAGTTGTATAAAACCTCCAATATCCAGTGTAGCCAAACTCATTAAGAGGACTGCCATTTTACTTTTTTGGAGAATTCTCCCTCCAGGTCTTCTGATGTGACCGGGAATGGCTGCTCAGTAGGCCAGCTGCACAGCTGTCACTGCTAGCTGTCCCTTACCTTCCTCCTGGGGTTCCATTTTCCTTTCTCTTAGGTTTTTAGAACTCATAATTTCCTCATTCTTGGTTCCTCCCTTTTTTGGTCATTTGGTAGAGTGCATCCTCTGGTAGCTTCTTGTGAAAGAAAACATGGAAGTAAATATTTTTGAAACCTTACATGTCAGAAAATGGCTGTATTCTAATTTTACACTTAATTGGCAGTTGTATGGGCATAGGAGTACAAACTTGAAGCTGTTCTGTGTTTTGAAAGTACTGCTCCATTGTCTTCTGGTTCCCACTGGTATTGGTAAGAAGTCCAGTGCTATTCTAACTCTTGATTATTTTTGTGAAACTTGTTTTCTGTTCTCTGGAGGCTTTGGTAATCTTTTGTCTCCGCAGTATTGGGAACTCTCAAGATGATGAGCCATCCGTGATGTTGGCACTCAATAGGCCTTTCCGTTGTGAAACTCACAGCTGCAGTGGTAGGAGTATCCCTGAATTACTTTGTTTTCTCTTTTGGTACTTACATGGTGGAGATGTTGGATGTGTTGGATAGGTTGCCTAATTTTCTTATATTTCCCTCCTATTTTCCAGCTCTGGTGTTTTGCTCTGCATTGGGTGAGATTTTCATATCTACATTTATCCTCCAAACCCTCTATTGAGTTCTTCTTTTTCCAGAAGCTCTTTTTTTGTTATCTGAATGTTCCTTTTAAAAATATATGTAGCAACTTGTTACTTTTTAATGAGGCAAATATCTTCAAATATATCCTGAGCACTTAGTACGTGCCAGGCCCTATTCTAATCTCTGAGGTGATAGCAGAGAATAAAACCTAGTCCCTGTTCTTGTACAATTTATATTCTTAGGGACAAAGGGAATAACAAATTAAAAAAAATATATATATATATGTATGTAGATGTATATATGAATAATTGGCCGGGTGCGCTGGCTCACGCCTGTAATCCCAGCACTTTGGGAGGCTGAGGTGTGTGGAATACCTGAGGTCAGGAGTTCGAGACTAGTCTGGCCAACATGGTGAAACCCCTTCTCTACTAAAAATACAAAAATTAGCCAGGTGTGGTGACACACGCCTGTAATCCTAGCTACTCGGGAGGCTGAGGCATGAGAATCACTTGAACCCAGGGAACTGAGGTTGCAGTGAGGTGAGATCATGCCATTGCACTCTAGCCTAGGTGACACAGTGAGACTTTGTCTCAAAAAAAAAAAAAAAAATAGAGTAAACAAGTATGTGTGTACGTTGAATGGTGCTGAATACGGTGAAGGGAAATGAAGAGGACAAAGGGGATGGGGAATGAACCCCCCTGTGTGTAGGTGGGTGAGTGTTATTTTATGTAGGAGAGTTTGGGAAGGCCTCGTGGATGATGTGACGTTTTAGCAGAAACCTAGGTGAGCGAGCCATGTGAAAATGTGGAACATGTAGGGGAAGAGTGTTCTGGGCAGAGGGAGTCTTGAGGTAGATACATACTTGTCATGTTTGAAAACCAACAGGGAAGCCAGAGTAGCTGGAGGAGGGGGGAGGGAGGAGATTGGGAAAACACGCAAGGTTAGAAAGGTAGCAGGTCACATCACATAGGGCCTTGTAGGCCATCCTTAACACTTCTGGTTAACGTTGTTACTCTGAGTGAGCGGGGGCACCACTGAAAAGTTTTGAACAGAGGAGCAAATATGATGTGACTTATGTTTTAAACGTCTCTGGCTCTTCGTGGAGAATGGTCTGTCAGATG